AAAGGATAAATAATAATAATAATAATAATAATAATAATAATAATAATAATAATAATAATAATAATAATAATAATAATAATAATAATAATAATAATAATAATAAATCTTGCACTGAAATATTTGAAGTAAGAGGCGCTGGGATTCAAATTATGACCTTTTATTTGTTGTGCTTTGATACAATATCGAGTCTCGAACCAATAGCGCGTGTATTCGTTTGTATCCAAATATTACGATTTTTCGCTCGATTCATATACTACAGCCCTTCGATTCCATTCCATCTCACGATAGTTTTCATGTGCTTTTATCGCTAACAATGCTTAAAACAACATAAGCATTTATAATTGATAGCTCAAACTTACTGCACATCACAATTTCTTTCAAGGATCACAATATACTCTCGTGCAATAACACGTAAATTATATGAGAGATGTAAACTGCAGTAAAAAAAATTATGTTTCACACGTTTTATATATAAGGGTAAATTACAAACACCTCCCTGAGGTATGGTCAAATTATGAAAAAACTCCCTCTTGTTTGGATAATTACATATATCCCCTCAACTATGAATCTTCTTACACCTCCACCCTTTATGATGTCAAATTCAACATAATCATCTAGATTCCGTGGAATGCTCTCTATTTTGTACTCGTTTTGTGCAAAAATACAGTTTCTGATACACCACAATCTGATATATACAAGCCAAAAAACACATCTTATGATCATCTTGCTTCAAAATGTGGAGCTCGAATGCGATAAAACGGGTAGAGGATTTAGAATATTCCATATAATCTAAAGATTCCACTAAATTTGAAACCGCAAGAATGGACGTGTAAGAAAATTTATAATTGAGAGGTGATTGTAATTACCCAAACATGGGGGATTTTGTAATTTGACCATATCTCAGGGGTTTTGTAATTTACCCTATATATAATAAGTAGATAAGGATTAATGTTTTAATAGGCAATAAACAAGTGACAAATAATTGACCATTTCAGAATAAGGGGTTATCGGAAGTTGGACCACTATGAATGAGAAACAGTCAAATTGCACTTATAATTGTAGACTCAGTCACAAAAAATCAAATAAATCCACTATAAAAATCTAAACGGGATCGAAAAAAAGAAAAAGAAAAAATCAATTATTAGGAGCTCGTAGTTTTGTAGTAACTTATAAGATGAGACAACAATTAATTAAATAATTGATTGACCTCATATTTGGTCATTCAGTAACTTTTTAGACCATCTTGCAATTATTTAACAATTGACCTTTAATTTTGGTTTATTGAGACGTAACGTGATAAATCTTCCAAACTTTAATTGTCCAATTGAAATGTCATAAAATTGAAATAACAGGTTTTCATTGAATTGAAATTGAGAAAAATTATTATTTAAGTGAAATTATTAATTTAACGTAATTCTACTGTATCATAAGATTGTATAAAACAAGGTTTGAAAGATATATTTTTCATTAGGGCTACTAAAATTTGTGTTTTATTGACAAGAGGAAGCAATTTCAGTTATAGATAGTTTCAGAGCTGAATCTTACAATAATTAACAAGCTCAAATTCAAAAAAACAAAAAAAAAAATTTGAAAATTCATCCCAACCAAAAACCCGAAAACTCGAGAACCTGAAAACTCAAAACCCAAAAATCCGGAAACACAAGAACCCAACAACCCGAGTACCAGAAAACTCGAAACCCGAAAATCGAAAACCCATAAACTCAAAATCCAAAAACCAGAAAATCCGAGAACCCCAAAACCCGAAAATCCAAGAACCTGAAAATCCAAAAACCAAAAAACCAGAAAACTCGAAATCCGAAATCCGAAAATTCGAATCCTGAAACCCAAAACCTATTATAATAAGACAATGTCTATGTTGATAGATAAATACGACATGAAACATCACAGTTGACACCAAGTAAAGTGACAATGTCTATGTTGATAGTAACAAATAATAAGACACTTGACATTGAACTAATTTATGTAATACGTAATGCATTGAATGTAGTACGTACTATTATTAAGAAATAAGAACATAAGTAATAGGCCCAGTTGACAGACTTTGAACCAAAAAAAAAAAAGAAAAAAAAAGTGGTTCTCTCTTACAACATTGAATTTCAACTGACGTGCAGTTGCATATAGGTCTCTCACCAAGCAATTAAGGAGTAACTAGCAAATATAAGCTGACATTTATTCTACTGATGTATACATATTTATAAATACTATGTCAATTTACGTCAGGTAAGGAAAATTTACAACGAAATTCCCGTCGTTTGGGTGATTATAACTACCCGTTTCAATTATGTACATCCACTCGTACGGTATCAAATTTATCTACTGAACGAGAATTTTTTCAGAAGAAAATACATATATAAGAGGGTCGGATGTAATTACCTAAATGTGCGATTTTTTTTTTCGTAATTTGATCGTGACTGATTTGCCCTAAATACAAATTAGTTGAGCAAGAAAAATAACAGATAATAGCAAAGTGACAAAGTCGTTAGGCTGCAAGTAGTGTTTTTTGCTTTTCTTTCCTTTATTTATTTTTTATTTCAATTGAAAAGTGATTAGTGATTAGTATGACAAACAAAATTTGAGCATGGAATATACATAATTATATTCGAATATGAGATGAAAAATACTATTTTGGCCTCCAAGAAAATGTCAATGATTATTTAGATCATGTGCCGCCGTTTGATATTTTTGTTTGGCATCTTATAATAACAAGCTATTATTCAAACATTAACGAATCGTTAGATTATGAAATTAGTAATTACCCAAAAATTGTAAACTCTAATCAATGAGTTCAATTGTCGTAACAAAATGAATGTTGGAACTACATTCAGAGATGCTGACTGACGAATAAATAATTGAAAGCATCTTGAGACCTTATAAAAATGATGAAGTTGAAAATAATACTATAAAACCCGTTTACCAGCAACGCTATTGAACAATTTCTTGTTAAACTATGACAAAAGTATACCGTATTAAGAAAATTGAGGGAGGAGATTAAATGTGTTATTGTCAACTTCAGTAAAAAAAACAAAAGAAAATCGAATTTAGTTTTTATAGATTTATCATAAATCATATCATGATTTGAAGAATTGTTTTTAGACATTATTAATATATATATTAGATTGGTCAATATATAAAAATTGAGTAACATAAAAATTGAACACAAATAAATTACAATCAAAACTTCATCCAAATCTCAATAATTTAGAATCATTAATATGTGATAAGAATAATAAATAGCAATATAATTATGATTAAATATGGTATGAATTAATTATAATCATCGCTAAAAAATAAAATAAAACACAATTTCACTACAAAACATACAGCTCTAGAAATATTCGTTAAAAATTACAATTTGGCCCCTCCTAAACCCTCTCATTGGAGAAGTCGACAGAAGCAAATTAAAAACTCATATAGGAAATTAGAAAAATTCCACTTGCCACGTGTGACTAAGATCGGACATTTCAAATATTATTAATTTTATTTTTTTTAATATTATTTGGGTTAAACACACTTTGCACCCTAAAATATAGCTTATATAAAACTTACCCTCTTAAAGTATCATTTGTAACACTTACACCCCTGCAATATATATATATATATATATATATATACACACACTATATTGCATGTGAACAAAGGATAAACAAATTATATTGTGTATTTCACAAGGTAATCCTTGTGTCGGGGTTGAAAATTAAACAAATATGCCCTATACCCGATACTCGATTCAAGATCGTTTGTTAAAAATTCAATTTGTTAACATTACAAACCAAGTTTGAGCTGCATATTTCATTTTCGTAAGCTATGAAGTTCGTCTCGATAAAAAAAAGGCAAAATTATGTATAGAAAAAATCAAACTGCTAAACTCGTTTAAGCTCAATTAAGTTGCTAATTGCTTATGGAACCAAACTCAAACAACTTTAAAAGAAAAATAAGATTCAAACAAATTGGAACTATCATGCATTCATTTCGACTCGATTACAACATTACGGTTATAATCCAGCACAATCCTAAACACACTGGCTAAAATTCCACTTTGCACCCTTGATAGTTTTTTAGCACTTCGCACCCTCGAATTTTTTCTATAGCATTTTGCATCCTCGTAACACAATAAGTATAATGCACACCGAATGGATTTTTAAAGCTAATGAAGGTATTGGTGTTTTTTAGAATGTCAAATATCAAACCATTTATTTTTAATTCATTAATCTCTTAGAAACTACAAAGTGCAAAATACAAATACATCTCACGACATGTTAAATTATGTTTTTTTCACAATAAATGTTTTACAAAAAACAAAAAGAGAAAAAATATACTTCAACTATTTAGGTATCAAGTTATTTGAAAATTACAGTTTTTTTCCCAGATTTCTACAAAATATTTTCTCTAATTACAATTTAAAAAATCCACCAATTGAATAATTTAATGACATTTGGAAAAAAAAATGTAGTATTTTTACAGTAATTCATTGTGATTTTTATTTTTTTTACATTTCGTACACTCAAAAATTATATTGGGGATGGAAGAAAATAATAATTTAATTTGTTATTTTGCACCTGGAAAAAAAAAACCAATATCAAAATAAAATTATCTTCAATCTTCAATCTTCAATTCATGGTACATTGGGAATGATTTATTGTATTTCAATGGTGTAAAGTGCTATTAATTTTTTTTTTTAAGGATACAAAATGCCAAACTAACACATTTAAGGGTGCAAAGTGTGATTAAACCTAAACATACAGTCAAATAATTAATTAGTATATTTATTTCATACCCCTCCCAAAAAGGGAAAATTATGAATTCGCAATACCACGCGCATAAGTTTATCTGAGCCAAGTCAATCGACGCGTTACAGGGACCAAGCCCCAAATTATATCCCATTACACACAATGACGAAAACACCCCTAGTCTAATGACCAACACCCCCATCCGGAGAAGGGCTTTTTAGTCAAATCAGGTCAGATATTCCACCCTCTATAAACCGGCCAGTAGACGTGGGGTAGAAGACGAGAAACGGCTCCCTTGTAATCTTTACAACTGCACGCAGAGCCCTTTTTCTGAATTTTCCATATTTATTTATTTAATTTTTATTTATTTTTGGTAATTTTCAGGGAATTATTTTTTTTGTGTTTATTAGGGGATGGAAAACCAAAATTAGGGCTATTTGCATTTACATCTCTTCTATTTCGCCCTAGTTGCTTGAGATTTGAAATCTTCCATTTGCGTTTTTTTTTCTAATTCGATTTGATTCGATTGTGGTGGGTTTCTGATTATTACTCGATCTCGAGATTAAGAGAGAGAGAGAGATTTCTAGTGAGAGAAAGTAGTGTGGGTGAGATATGTGTAGTGTATCTAGATTCTGTGATAAGGTGTGTACGATGGCGGAAGGGGGATCTCATTATTGCTCGAAGAAAACTGATGATATATGCGGCTCCGCTTATGATGAGGTATAACCAAAAGTCGATTTCTTCTTTCCGTTGTTTTCAGAGTGATTTTTTTTTTTGATTTTTTGATTTTTGATTTTTGATTTTGCTTTTGTTTAATTGTTTGATGGGGATTTGTGTACTGGATTGATTTTTCCAGTTTTTTTGGGGAAAAAGGAAAAAAAAAAAATCAATTCGTTTAAAATTCGTGAATATTCAAAGTTTAAAGTTTGAGTTTTTAGGTTTCTGGAATAGCCCTTTTCAAAAAAAAAAAAAAAAAAAAGAAATCTTGAAAAATTGCAAAAATGTTGTTAGTTTCTAGATCCTATATATATATATTTTTTAATTCCATGTATTTTTTTCTTCCCCTTTTCTGTTCATTTATGCTTCTTCTGCAATTGATGGTGGACTTAATCAAGTCTGTGTTTTTAATCTTAAATCAATTTATAGAATACAGACTGGGCTATATTATCGAACCCCGTAATTTTCTACGAAATAGTTCTTATGCTTGGATGAAATATTGCATTCAATTTAACATCCTTTACATACAAATGTATATCTATTGTAATTGATGTTGTGCGATACTTAAATCTGCAGGACTCGTCACGAACTTTAAGCATGTCGAGATTAAAATGCATTCTACGCGGACTAGACATAAAAGCCTACCTATTCCTCTTCATGCTAGTACCGACATGTATCTTCTTTATATACGTGCACGGCCAAAAAATCACCTACTTTTTACGCCCACTGTGGGAATCTCCACCAAAACCCTTCAACGAAATCCCCCACTACTATCACGAAAACGTAACCATGGAGAATCTGTGCAGACTCCACGGCTGGAATGTACGAGAATACCCTCGACGAGTCTTCGATGCAGTCTTGTTCAGTAACGAGGTGGACCTCCTTCAAGTCCGCTGGAAGGAGTTGTACCCTTACGTATCGGAGTTTGTACTGCTCGAGTCAAATTCAACCTTCTCCGGTTTACCCAAGCCGTTAGTCTTCTCCACAGTTCGAGACAAATTCAAATTTCTTGAGCCACGGTTGACTTACGGTCAAGTTCCGGGCCGGTTCAAGAGGGGCGAAAACCCCTTTGTCGAGGAGGCTTACCAAAGGCTAGCGTTGGATTATCTACTCAAACAAGCCGGTATTCAAGATGATGATTTATTGATAATGTCGGATGTGGACGAAATTCCTAGTCGGCACACGATTAATCTGTTGAGGTGGTGCGATGAGATACCTAGGATTTTGCACCTCCGTCTGAAAAACTATCTCTATTCGTTCGAGTTCTTTTCGGACAATAGCAGCTGGCGGGCTTCGGTACACGTGTACCAATCTGGGAAAACGAGGTACGCTCACTATAGGCAGTCGGACGTGATTTTGTCCGATGCGGGGTGGCATTGTAGCTTTTGCTTTCGCAAGATTAGCGAGTTCATATTCAAGATGAAGGCTTATAGCCATGTTGACCGTGTGAGGTTTTCCCATTTCTTGAACCCTAAGAGGGTACAAAGGGTAATTTGCAAAGGTGCTGATTTGTTCGATATGCTGCCCGAGGAATACACTTTTAAGGAAATAATCGGAAAAATGGGGAATATTCCGCATTCTTATTCCGCCGTTCATCTTCCCGCTTATCTTTTGGAAAATGCTGACGATTTGAAATTCTTGTTGCCCGGGAATTGCGTAAGAGAGACTGAATGAGCTGTAAACGAACGGAGTTGATATATATTTATATAACTTCTATATATATATATATGCTTTTGTATAGGTTGAAGTCTTTCTCGGCTCCCAGCTAAGGGTATTTTGGTCCGACAGGTTGATGAAAAAAGACGTGTGATGATTTTTAAAAACACTGCTACATGTTGGGCTTAATTTATATCATTCTTTTTTCATCAGTGTTTTCTGAGGAAAATTTGGACTCCAATTAGTGAGGTTTTTGTATATAGAGTTGATTTTTGTATCCCCTGTACTATGTGTGGAGTAAGAGTCGTTTAACGAGTCGAGATTTGCGGGGTTTTCTTCACACTAGGAAATTTTTGATGTGGGACTAATTTATTTTATATGATTTCTGTTAATCATCTTCTTTTCTTAGTATTTGTCATAATTCTAATCCTTGGATATGTGCTAGGTGCTTATGATTTATCGTTACAGGTTCATCGACACGAAAAAAGCACACACATCCGTGTGGGTGAATAATCGGGTTTTTGCATCAGTGTATTTCATCGGATGTAATGTATATATTACCATTTTTTGCCATTATTATATATATACACTAGAGAAGTCTCACACACAGTTTTTTCTAGCTGTTTTGTTTAACTTATTATTCAGAGCAGATACTATTTCCTGGCAAAATTATTCTATTTGAAATGTTTGATGTGCCAAAAGTCAAATGAAGTGAGAATCTGATACCCCTTTTATTGTATATTAGATAGATTTAGATATTTGTGATGGTTATTATTTTTTTATAAGGTTAGGTTGGCAAGTTCGAATATTATGATCTATTATTCTATGCCATATTCACTGTATTATGTTATACAACACTCTCGTATGTGACAAGCCCGACCTAGCAATTGTTGGCAAGGGGATTCGAACTTGAGTCGATTGACACAAACTCACTTGCTCCAATCGTTGGACAGGACAATTTACACGCATTTGCATGTTTATGCGTGCATGTGAAATTATCCGATGTTAGGCGAATTTGATGAGAATCAATGTTTTAAACTCATTTGCTGTCAACTATTTGGTCTTAGAGGATCACCAAAGAATAACGCGGTAATGGATAACCAAACTTTGTGTAACTTGTAAGAGTTGTATACCTTTTTACATTTTTTTCTTTCTCATTAAATATTCTTGATGAATTATTTAAACTTATTGTTTTGTTTTTTATTTTGAAATATTCTTTCGAGGTTTATTTCTTTTCCCTGCATTCCCTTTTAATCGTCGTGTTTTTAGCTTTGCATAAAGATTCAGGATTTTATTAATTGTGTCTTGATCTTAGGAAAATATACGTTTTTAGACTAAAATGACCTTACATTATAAACTGGAATTAAGTAATTAATGGAGTGTTGGAAATCTAAAGTAACAGATAATATGGAACAAAAAAATTCTAAAAAATGACCGATATTGTGGAATTAGAGTTATCAAGAAAATCTTTTAATTTAAATATATAATTTTTGTAATTAATACTGAAATAAATGAAGGGTGGTAGGTATGCATATAAAATGTCTTTAGGCATATTGTGTAGGTATTGAACTAAATATCATTGCCACATTACATTAACATGCGACTAACTAACATATTAAGTGACCTATAAATTACCAACACATATTTTTTTTTTATTTTTTTTTTAAAGAATAGTTGTTTGGACTAGAGAATTAATTAATTGGGTAATAAATAGGTTTAGGGATTGAATTCCATTACTGTTACTAGCCGTTGAGTTACAGTAGAGTATTAGGTTCAACTACTAATCTTAGGGTGCAATGATTATGCATTCTTTAACATGGACAATTAATTTCAAAATTAAAAATGATAGGTGGAAAAGCAAATATCTAGCTGGAATTTTCCTACCAAGACAGAAGAGAATGCCACGTGGGTTGTTAGGAAAACTATCAATCAGCTGGAATTATTTCGGACCAACCGACTTTGATGTAAACTGAAAACTACCGACCGACCCGTTCATATATGGGTCGGCTAAAATTACCGCCCAAACTATATAGGCCGATTAATTACCAATTATATGGTCAAGAAAATTGGGCCCGCAGTGGATCGGATGACCGACAAAACCGACCCATACCCAGCCCTAGAATCATGCATCGTGAAATAATTATGAGTACTTACATTTGGAGATTAAATAATCACAATAAAGTGCAATTATCATCAAAAAAGAAAAACGAAAATAAAATCATTATCATAAATATATATAAATATAACATTTACAAAAATTCCCCTACAAATGAAAATCACACAAGTCCAGTAAGCAACATAGAAACCCACTCTCTTCTTTCCTCTTTCGAAAGACTGTAAAAGAGGTCGAGTTTCGCAGAATCACTCACTATCAAAGTTGCAGCTCGAAGCCGAGCTTGTAAGCTAAGATTGGGCAATTTCGTCAATTCACCATTTAACCTCGTTCGTTTCTCACAGACTATTTTCTCCGCAGTTTTCTCCCTTCCGATTATTTCAGACAGCAAAGAAACATGCTCTTGATATTTATCGAGAAAACTCCCAAATATCTTCGCCAGTTCACACTCACTATTACAGCTCTTCTTGTTCGAATCTCCAACGTTTGGAGTACGAGGTTGTTTTTCATCATCTGATCTATTCGTCTCTTCAGCTGAATCCTCGGAATGATTTGTTGTTACATTTACATCCCTCTGCGATTTTCGCTTCTTGTAATGTTCGATATTGGGTGTTAGGTCCAACTCTGTGGCAAATGATCTATTCCGATACGACTCGGAATATTCTCTTTCTTCTTCATCTTCTTCAAAAGTGTCGTTCACTACCATGAAGTTTGTGGCAGCAATAGTTACCTCGTCATCAAGAATTTTATCACTGTCCGTTTCATTATAAACGCCTTTTCTAGTGCCTCTATTTCCGAATAAAATATGCAGATCGTTGTAATAAGGGAACTGCTTATTCCTTAATCCTTTTGCATCGGTATGAATCTGTACAAAAAATAACAATTAAGACCTTGTTCAGTTACCACATCCGTAAACCTGCTACGAAAATGAAAGCATAAAATTAAATGCTATTATTTCGTACCCATGAGACTAATTTTGTAGGGGTGACTAAATGAGGAAGACTGTTTATCCTTAAAATTACATCTAATTTTTTTGTAAGTTTGAGGTTTTATAGACAAATTACGTATTAGGAGTGTCAATCGGACGGACCGGATCAAAATTAGCACTTCCACAAAAAAAAAAACATATTTTTTGGAAGTGAAAAGCTATTTCGGTTTCCGGTCTGACAAAATGGAAAATTTGGAAAGCGGAATTCCGGAAATTGGAATGGAAAAACTTGTTCCACAATCGAAAAAATTCGGATTTAAATCGACGGGATTCGGAATTTCCAAACTTTTACTCACCGATAATATAAAATACATTATGATATTGACATTATAAGTGTAATCTTCATAAAGAAAAAAAAATCGATTCCAATAGGAATAAGTACTTTAGGAAAAACAAAACAAGTAAAGAAACTTCAAAAGCAGCTACACTTCTACGTTCGAGACGAAATTACATTAGAGTAAAAAAAATCAATTTTTTTGGAAATTTAAAGCCGATCAGAAATCAGATTTAAATATGTCTTCCAACTCCGTTAAAAAAATCGGAAAATCAGAAATTCGAATTTCATAATTCGGAATGAAAAAAATTGTTCCATAAAATCGGAAATATTTGGATCGTAATTAACAGAACTCTGTTCCAATTTCCACCCCCATTACGTATTATACCAGAATTTAACGGATTCAATACAAAATCTAATCCAATGAACCGAACATCTTACTAACCATATAATTAGTTAGTCAATTCAAAATCAATCCAATTTCATCTATTCCAAATTAAAAACGAAACAGGTAACCGTAGCAAGAAATATACCTGGACCCACTCGTCCCACACATCATCATCCTCGCATATCAATACGTTATCTTTATCATTCCATTGAATCCCGTGCGCACCTTGCATTTCGGTTATCGCATCATATTGCCTCTTCAAAAGTTTAAGTCTCGATTCGATATGCGGGCTAGCCTTGATATTGCAATTTGGAAGCCTCGATTTTAATTTCGTCTCCAATGCGGAAGTGTATCCGCTCTTGAAGATTCCGTTTTTTCTTTTCCAGCCTGCGTTGCATAACTCGGAAAGCGATGCGATCAAAACCGCGTCTTCCTTTGGAGTCCATTTCTTTTTCATCGATTTGGGGGATTTCTCTTCGCCTTTTCTCTTCAGCTGCCGATTCGACACATCTCCCATTCTCGAGCCTCGATGTACACTAATACCACACATTTTCACAGGTAATCAACATACTACAAATTACAGGGATATGTTTATAAGCATTAAAATACACCCTTTATTTCACCTTAAAAATTGCAAACCCTAACCAACAAATTAAGGTGATTTTCAATATTTTTTTTTTCTTTCTGAAATCAAAATAACCATGAGAATCCATCGATTATTATAATTCATGGAAAAATAGTAATTAAAGAAAACCCATGATCGAAGATAAACATTAGGGCTATGAAAATGAAACAAATTAGAAGAGTAAAGCCGAAGTATTTAATGGTAATTAACAAAAAATATATGCGACGAATAAATTTGAGTTGTGAATCGGAAGAAAATGAGATCGGAGAAGTGTTGAACTCACCTTAGATTCTACAGAGAGGAGGCGCCGCCGCGGTTGGGAGGAGAGAAGCTAGGGTATGACGGGAATCGGAATTGGGGGTGGAATGGGAATGTGTGTGTTGTACGGAATTCTGATTCCATGGAATTGAAAGTTACACAAGATAGTTAGTTTAGTTAATCACCGCATAAAACAATTTGTTTAGTAGGGGCAAATTAGAGAATTCTCATAAATCATTAGAGATAACAATTATTTTTATTTGAACTAAGTCATCCATTTCACGAATGATTAATTAAATATAGTCAACTAGGTAATTCGACTAATTAGTATGATCAACTAGGTATGTCGACTAACTGTAATTGAAACGCCTAAGTGATATTGAGGTAGAGAGGATCATTAGGCAAAGGGTTAAATTCCCTTTAATCGAGTCGACTAAATTGCCGTTCTTTTGCAAAATATTTAGGTGGTGTTTGCAAATACTTTTTGAAAGTCTCCTAACATATTTTCAGGTTTTTGCAAAGTTAACTTTTGCTTTTGCTTCTCTTAAAATAATCTGATTTAAGCTATTTTTTTAAAAACACCATTAACCATGTTTTTTCTATTTAAGTTCATTTTTTGGAATATTTGCAAACACCCCCAACTTTTGAAAATAAGCACTTAAAACTAACTTAAATTACAATCACTAACCTTAGTCATTGACCGTATTTGGCTAAATAGATAGTCTTTTTGGTTAACTAACTTCACACATTTTCAGTTGAATGGTGTGTTTAAACACCTCCATAATTTTAATGATAATTTTTTCATATATTACTTTCATAATTAAATATGTTAGATAGTTTAACCGACTGATGAATTTGAGAAAACAATTTTAATTTGATTAAAACATTCTATTAAAATTAAGTCGAAACTCAAAATTTCCAACATTTTATATCACCAATTGCTATGGTGGAGCAAATTAACTCAAACTCATTTTTTTTAGGAAATTGATTTTTCCTTGTTAGAACTAAGTTGAAATGAGAAGAGTAGTGGCAAATTCGGACAATACTTGCTCTTTTCCTTTTAGATTCCAAGCCATCCATATTTGGATGAATAAAACAAGTTCCCAACTACAATTCAAAGATAGGAACTTGTGTGTGTGTGTGTGTTTCACAAAAAACGTGACCAAAAGTAAAAAAGAATCGGATTCCATCCTATCAAGAAACAAAGAGAGCGACTATATAATAAACAGAGAGAGAAAGATAGATTATTTAACAAAAAAACAGAAATGGAAAAGAAAAGCAACACAAAGCACCAAGTGCGTAGGCCACGAGACCACGCGTACGAGCAATACGAACTCGAGCACATGCCACACACATTAGTAGTGCTGGACAATTCGGTTCCGATCGATCGTGCTAATAAAAAACCTAGTTCATTACACGGATCATCAAGTGGGCCCCATTGTAATAACGAGACGGTTGTGAAACAAAACATCGATGTTGAGGCGGAGGCCTTCATCGCATTGGAGCATCGGAGGTTCGATGGGGACAGATGGATGTCCATGAATGGCTAGCTTTGATCTTAATTCTACTTATTACATAATAATTCCGTAATTACTAATTAGCCCTTGTCAAGATTATTGCTAGTGTATGTATTATGTATATGTTATTTTAATAAATTTCTCCAAACACACACAGAAAATACAAAACCTTTAAGACGAAACTGCCCTTGTATTATATATGTATTTTCTGCTAAATTAATATATGAAGGGAATTAATGAACAAAAATAATAATTAAAACCCTCCAAAGCAGACTACATTTAATTTTTTTTTATTTTTTTATTTTTTATATTCAGAAAATGGAACGGCAGAGAGGGCAAGACACGCGCTGCTTATCGAACCACTTGTCGAGACAACCTTTGTGGAAGAAATGCTTGCAAGAAAGCTCACTCACTTCCTCCTCCGCCTCGAACCTATTCAAGCACACACTGCACTCCACCGTACTCTGCCACTCACCGCCGCCGCGCCGACCTCTCTGTGAGCACCCGCACCGGTTTCTACATAGTGACTCGTAGCGCGTGATGGACACCCTTCTGGACCTCGAGTCGTCGCCGCCGGCGTAGTAGTACTCTTCATCGGAATCTTGATCGCCGCCGCCGCCGCCGAGGACTGACCTAATCTTGTTCTTGACGAGAGCAACTGACATCACTGTGTTCATTACGAGCATTGGCAGCACCCCTTCCGCTGGGCTTGAAAAATTCGATAGCCCCATAATTTAATTATTTTTATTTTATTTATTTTTTCTAAATGAAGAATTCTTCAAATTCAAGTAACAATTGAAAAATCTGCGACGAAGCTTATATATATAGAGGGGTGGTAAACTGATAATAACTATTAAACAAGAAAAAAATATTAGGGTAAATTACGAAAACCCCCTTAAACTTAGGCTAAATAACGAAAAACACCTTCACCTATCAGTAATAATCATAGTTCCCTCTGATTAACTGTTGATCGAGTTTTTTAACAGAAAATGTGTATAGTCTATTATACCTTATGCTAAATAAGTGAGAAATAAAAGAAAAATATAAAATTGTGTAAAGTTTATAATAAAAAAAAATCCGAAAAAAATCAACTGTAAGGGATTGGTGTAAGATAGAAATAAGCCTTCGGGGGTTTTAGATAATTACGAATAGGGGTGTGGGTGGTTTTTGTAATTTAATATAAGTTTAGGGAGTTTTTATAATTTACCCAATATATTAAGCCAATGGTGGGGGTGGTGTAGGCACGTGGCAACACGTGTAAGGATCCTGAGGTTGTTGGTGATTGGGTTAAACGGTAGGCCATTTTAGATTGGGGGGTGGTCGAGTTTACAGGGCCACGCGTCCACACGTGATTTATCTGCTGGCCAATGAGGTGGTGACGTGTGGCAGCGCGTGGGGCCCCATCGAAGGTTCTTTGATTTTCTGGAGCGCGTTATAAATAACCCATGATTGGTTCAAGTAACCGCGTTTATGGTGCAGATTAATTAAGTGGATGTCATCATCACACAAACAATGATGACGCACGCATTTTGACTTTCGTAGAAAATAAGGTCAACTAAAGAGTCATCAAATTTAATGACTTGAGAAAATATCAAATGCCTTGTGGGAAATCCACGCACTTGGTGATTCTTCACGCGCCTAGTAAAATTTATGTGTAAAAGTAAAAATCTATAAAACAAAGCAGACACTAGGTGACTCACCGACGATCGTCGTTTGACGTTCAAGACATCGAGCAATAAGCCAACAAAATGTGGAAAGCTCTACGGTCACTTAGTTTCAAATGAATGGTGAGTTTCTCTATATATAATGATGGACTAATCCTCGTAAATGAGGTTTATCAATCGGCCCCCTCGTTTGATAAATCATAAACTCTACGAAACGTTGCGTGGTTGCAAATAACATTGATTTAAATGTTAAAAATATAAATCTAAGCCTTGTGATGTTAGTTCTTTACTTGATAGATAGTAGGATATAGTGGCTAGTGTGTGTGTATATATATATAGATGGTAAATTACAACCACCCCTGAAGTATAAATAATTTACGAAAAAAACTCTTCTTATTTGGATAATTATATCTACCCCTCAACTATGATTTTTTCCTACACCTCATTCTTATGGTGTCAAATTCTAGTTTGTACTCGTTTTGTGCAAAAATACAGTTTCTGATGCACCACAATCTGATACAAGCCAAAAATACAAATTATGATCATCTTGCTTCAAAATGTGGAGTTCGAACGGGATAAAACGAGTACAAAAGTGATAATATTCCATATAATCTCAAAAAATTCACCAAATTTGAAACCGCAGGGGTGAACATGTAAAAAGATTTATAGTTGAGGACGTGGTAGTAATTACCCAAACAAGAGGGGGGTTTTCGTAACTTTACCATACCTCAGGGGTGGTTGTAATTTATCCATAAAATAAAATAAAATAAAATGACTACGATTTTGTTTAGTGAAACAGAGAGCAGGCAGAGAAGTTTCAAGTTCTAATAATCCAAAACTAGGGTTTAAACAAAACCAGAGACAAAAAAAATTGTGATATTAATCAAAGAAACTGCCTTTTGCTAAAAGTATAATAATTAAATTGAAAAAAAAAATGTTAGCAATAATTCTATCCTAAGGCAAAAGAATTGTGGTTTTTTTTTCTACTTAAATGATATTATATATAATCTCATCTGATCCTAAAAATCTTCTATCTATGGTGAACTGTGAAATTGGAAGGATCGATTCCGATGGATTTGTAATAAGATTTTTCGGCATCCTCCATTCGAACCCTGAAAAGTTCCCACTCTCTTCTACACCTCTGTCTCACCTAAACGAACCGCAAAAAAAACAAACGCATTTCAATAACATTGTTAAATATTATAAAGTCTTGGATTCATCTTTCGATTATAAATTCCTTTTACCGGATGATGAATATAGATTAACGGAAATAAGCAAGTATTTTTTTAGAAGTTAGATTAGAGACTACATACCCCTTGCCATGGAGCCTCTCCGTTTTCTGATTTCCCCTGATTTCCGAGTGATGGAACCGTTTGATGAACAATCCATTGAGCATCTACCACTCCGATTCGTTCATGAGCAGGCTAATTACGATAAAAATAGTTGATTTTTAGCAGATTTTGTAGCATATGTGTGTGTGTGAGAGAGAGAGAGAGAGAGAGAGAGAGAGAGAGAGAGAGAGAGAGAGAGAGAGAGATACCTCGACGCATTTCTGGAGGGCTAAGTCGAGACCCCATCCATGTATCAAGTCATTCTACAAAAACATTCGTATAAAGTCAAAATAAATTAATAGACTAAAGGAAGAAAAAAATTGAAGTAATTCTTACAAATTTCTATGCTGCAAGAAAAGGGAAAAAGGAAAACGAAACACCACCTGAATCATATGCCACACGCAGCGCCATGCATCTCGAGAAAACACAGGAGCCATGATTTCGACAAACCTGCGTAATTATCCATTTTTCTTTTTTATCAAAATATAGAAAACACAAAATAGAATAATAAAAACAAAAAGAAAATTAAAAACACATAGTAAAACAAGTTCATACGCAGCACACGGGGGCAAATGTGGGTCGGAGCACCATCCCGGCCTCTCTTCCGTTTCCCTGCAATTCACAATAAAGCATAAAAAATGCAAAAATAAATAAATTGTGTATGTATATATGTATATATATATATATATATATACACTTACATGTGAACATCGCGATCGTTTCTTCTCTTTGTCATCTCCCAAGTAGTTCCTCTAGAGGGGTCCAAACCAGGCTGTGAAATTTCCAAACCATACTTCCTCACAAGCTTTATATATCTACAATTTTGCAATGTATAACACAGAATAAATTAAAGCATCGAGCAATTTCCGAAAAAAAAAAAAATTAATAAAATTAATTTGACTTACTCTTCTGCGTCAAAATGCTCGACTCCAAGGTCTTCGTCCCAGATAAATATGTAGTCGTAAGGGGCAACAATGTCCGGGTGCAGAAACCTTTTCGCATACCACCTTAACAAAAAAAAAATCGAAAAAATTCACAAATGTAAAATATTCTCAACACGACTTATAGAAATAGTAACAAAAAAAAAGTTTATATCGTTTACCATTTTGTTTGTTTGATTGCGCTAACATGAATAGCTCGTTTCGACCACTCGAACTCGTCCCATTCCGATGTTCTTCCGTCGTAATGGAACAGAAGAATTGTAAAATTCCCTGAAAACTGCAGCAATTATATATACTTAGTGACAGATTATAATAATAATAAAAGTAAATAAAAATTACGGGCCTACGTGGAAGAAGCATTAGAGGGAAACGGACCTTTTTCACGGCAGCGTCGATGTTGTTTCTTTGATCATAACCAACAGTAAATGTCACCAGATAATTCGGTTTGCTCGTCAAATCCTAAAAAGTGACAAGTTAATTAGATTAAAATTTAATTTAATTTAATCTTCAAATATATATATGAAGAATGATTATATACCTCACTAGGTTTACCCCACAGTCTTCGAAGATATAAATCTGATTCGGATGCAACAATGCCTGGCGGCAATCTTTCTGCACCTTTTGGATTCGACTGAACCCAAATCTGAACAAATATACAAATTTACAAAAAATAAATACTAAATAAAAAATAAAAAAATCATTTCAGCATCCTAGAAAATATGGCGTACGTATACGCAAAATAGAAAGAGAGACGGAGGGCTCGTTCAAGATTGAAATACGAAGCAAAAAAATTCGATTATCATTGTTGAACACACATATGCCAAGAAATGCGACCGATAGCACGAAATAAATAGACTTCGAGACAAAATTAAACACAAACCTTCGATACATCGATCACGGTTTGATTTGCGGTAGAGCTTTTGTTACTACTATTATCGGTAAACTGAGCTGCGCTTTTGTTCCCGATTATCACAAAATCACGAAGAAGAGCAGAAGTAATATTTAGCTGCCAAATAACAAAGAGTCAAGAATAGGTTATTATTACCGATACAAAAAAAAAAAAGCATCAATCGGAATAAAAAAGAATATACCTTTGTAAACGGGAGGGATGGAAACGACACTCCAATGAAGAATCCAAACATTATTCCGACACAGATTGTAATAAACACCCTCATAGTTTCGTTCGGCTTTTTAGCCAGTGTGCTGAGAAAATCAAAAGTTATGCAAAATGTTATCACGTATCCGTTTTTGCTCGTGTGCATTAAATCAAGATTTACGTACCTACGGACCACGGTACCCTTTCTGTACACCATATCGGAATCCATGTTCATACTTCTAATTAGCTGCTGCTATTCATTAGCCCAATTAATTAATCCCTGTCGAAGAAATTGCACATGTGTCTTAGAAAACCGTTTTCAATGAAAAGACGAACGAGAATACGAGCTGGTTTTTACAGATTACCAAGAGAGAGAGAGAAGAGAGAGATAGTTAAAGTTTTGTTCAACAACAACAACATTATATTTTCTGTAATAAGAAACCTCTCTCCAACAACCAACACCAAGAACATTCTAGTAAGAACTAATCGAACCCGAATAGAAACGTAAATTCGTATCCCAATCGTGGATTCTAATAAGAACTAATCAAACCCGAATAGAATCGTAAATTCGTTTCCCAATCATGGATTCTAATTGTGCAATCCAAACATTTAACAGTCAAAAGATTATATACCCACAAAACACACACACACACACACACACACACACACACACACATCTAATTTTTTTTGTCCATAAAATCATTTTTAAACAAGGCAAAATTACAGTAGAATTTTTACACCAGATCACCTTTCATTTTTTGGTTTTTTGAATTAACTTAAGATCAATTTTAATCACAAATCAATTCAATTTCCACAGAGGCGGGCCGTGAAAACAAGAAACCGGGCCGAAAAGCAGCCAATTCGGGCCCACCACCGTCCCTACAATAGCTACGCCACCCATAAGTGATCGGAGAAATTTCCGGTCAGAGAAAAACATAAACACCCAATTAAAGCTACGCCACAAAATCGATTAAAAAAATTAAAAATCAATTTCGAGTATGATCATCAAAACGTACGTATACAAACACGTCACAACAGCGCTCAGCACAAACAAGAAAAAAAAAAAAAAAAATCAATCAATCACGCTTCCATACAAAAAAGTACCTTCAAATTCGAAATGAAACAAAACCCAGAAAATAATCTTCGAGAATTGGCGACGAATTTTTTTTTTCTCTGCGAAAGTGAATTTAATAACAGAGCCGAGAAAAAAACGTGGGTAAAGTATTTAACCCTTGAGTAAATGCATGAAACTGATGCGCAGAGAGAGAGAGACAAACTTCCTCAGTAATTAAAATCGTGAACTGAAACAAAGAGATTGTGTGAAATAATTACGGAGAGAGAGAATAGAGAGAGAGAGAGAGAGAGGAGAGAGAGAGAGGGAAAAAAGTAACGCAGGAATCAGATTTTGTGTGTGTTTTATTTTATACCCTTCTCTTTCAAAATCTTCTTTTCATCATTTTTCTTACTATTTTCCAATTTTTATGTCCAGTTAATACTTACCTTTTTTCCCATTATTATTTTTTATTTTTCATTGATTTTGTGAATTGGGGATTTAATTAGGATTGTAATTGATTATTACTTGTTCTTAATTGGATTTTAAAAATGGAAGTGATTAATTAGTAGTTACCAAAATTTCATTTTGACAACTGATAATACTTTTTTTTACTGAAAGAACTCGCAGCCAATCAGCGCTGAGTAAATATATACTGGTGTATAATAGTTTGCAAACCATACGAGAGACGTAAATTGGCTGAACGTGTGTGACGAATTGGAGATTTAAATGCTTACCTTACAAAAATTGATGTTGATTGGAGAATTTGTATTTTTTTTTTTTTTTTGTCATTTTAGAATTTCAAATTAATTATTGTTTTCTAAATTTTGCACTTGTTTTTAATTAGTTCAATTTTTTTTAGTAAGAGTAAAATTGATTTTGTATTTTTATTATTTATCATTTTAGAATTTCAAATTAATTGTTGTTTTCTAAATTTTGCACTTGTTTTTAATTAGTTCAATTTTTTTTGTTTTTTAAAGATTAATTTAATCACATCATATATTATTATATATATTTGATTTCTGTAAAATCAACACGTACTTGAATCCAAAACGAGGAGGTAGTGGGTAATTAGTGCTAATGAAGGCTTAATTATGTGTTGACTCTTTGAAAAGTTGGTACAACATTGGTGGTGTGTCTAATTTTAATTACGGTGATTAATTATGTGGATTAATTTAATTTAATTGGATTCCTACACTTAAGAATGTCTTGTATTTTTGTCTACTGAATTTGACTATTGGATGCCGGCTTATTTGATATTTCCAAAGTCGTAACTCAATATAAACTTTTAAATTATATTATTTTATTAATATATATAATACAATATGAACAATAACATTAAAATTCATAAATTACTTTTTTGTAATTTTAGAAAATATTGTATCAATATTGGATACCTTCATTTGACTTTCTGGTCATTGATTAAGGGATTTTATGTTGGTGGAAGCTATTAATTAATAAGAAAAAATAATTAGAAAAAACAAAAATCATCTCTACTAAAGATAAAAAGTGAAATATTTCATTGCAGAATAATTGAAGAGAAATAGGAGATTGTGGTTGAAAGAATTTCAGGTGAATTTTGAGCTTTTAATCGCAAAATAAGATAATCTTAAAGAATTAGGAGATAAAATAATTAATAAATGTGTAATTAAGGTTTTTTAGAATTTCTCTAGCGTTTGTTATTTTTATATATAAGATTCAAAATACGCATAATAGATGAATCGAATAATATGATTGGTTCAATCGCACAAACGAAAATTCAATATTTATTATTCGAACAGGGCATGTTACTTACGACGAAAATATCATAGTTTTACAAATTTAGTGCTTCGTGCCAATATTTTAGGAATAAAAATCTATTCATAAAAAAAATAGTATTTGAGTTAAGCGATTTTCTTAGAAGTTTATTGATAATTTTGGTGAAATGTATTTTCAAAAAGCATTTTTAGGGTAATTAACCTCTTGTTTAAGGCATCAAATGGCTTAAGAAAAGACCTTTTTTTTTGCGATTAATTAATTATTAGTCATTTTGAAATTGGAGTATGTACAAATTGGGGAAGATTAATTTATGAATTGACTAAGAGGGAAAACATAAAAAAACTAGTTTGACTTTGCGTCATCACAAAGTTGTTGGTACCCTCTTTGTTAACCTAATTATTCCATCACTACCTAATTAAATTTAATTATCATTAGTTGTTTTGCATGTTGTGTTATTATTATATGTTCTTGCCATGAAAAATTACAAATTCGTTGCATCTTAATCCACCATCATCTATGGAACACGTAAGCTTCAATTTCTTAATGTATAAGCGTTTCGAACACATTTTGTGTCAGATACCCGAGAATTCAAATATTTTTGTTACTTCCCTAATTATGTACATGACTTAATGGACAATCACAAATTTTATAGTTGATAATCATATTTATTTCGAATATATTTGTATGAAAAATATATAAAAAGAATTTATAGTATATAAATAAAAACTCATATATGTTCATATAACATATTTATAACTATATCTCTACAATTTTAATATTTACACGTTTCCCACAAATTTTTGTATCCCTATTTTCTGGACATACCGTTTCTCCATTTTTCCGTATTCGTTACCGTGTCCGTGCTACATAAACCGTCATCCACCCAAGAAAAGCCACGTGGAGCTAATGGGAATTCACAAAATTGTGACCAATTCAAAGAAGATTATGAAATCGTGAATAAAGCTTAATTTGGACGTAATAAGAGAAGTCAACGTCAATGGGGAAAAGTCAATGGTTTTGGGAAATTACTTAAGATGCAAACCAAAGTGGGGAAATCGACCAAATATGATTTTTTTTGTAGGCTTGATTTTGGTGAACAAATTCGAAACCAACTCTATAAAATATGTCGGTTGCAAAATTCTTGTGAATTTGGGGATTTATTTAGGCCCACAATGCCTAGGGTTTTTAATTAGATGTTGATTTGATATTTAAAATTAATTGCAAAACTTAGGAAAAAGTGGGGTCCTATTAAAATTTAGGGGAGTCATTCATTCTCTGACCCTTCACCGACTTCTCCACTGAATTTATCCTTCAAAGTTATATCTCTGGTTACGTCATTGAATTGAAACATATATTTGTTACTTCATAAAAAAATTATTTCAAAAGGTAGTCAAATATTATAGAGAAGTCAAAATAAACTTTTCAAAGATCAAACACCAAAACTTTGTTAGAAAATATTTTTTAAAAAACTAAATAACGTGACATAAATAGAAATATAATAAATAAAAATAAATAAATGGTTTAGATATTGGACTAGGCCATCAAGGCCCACATGGAACTTGTTTCTTAATTATTGTAACTTTAGAAAGCCCATTTCAAGCCCATCGTTGCGACAAAGGAATTGTTCTGATTCTAGAAACTACTTTTCGGCCAATCTCTGAGGTAATGTTAAATTATGAAAAAACTTTTTTTATTTAATAATTGCATTTATCCACTTAATTATGAATTTCCATACACATTCATTCTTACGGTGTCATTTAGACCTGGTTTGGTTGGAGAGATTAGCCATGATTAACTAAATAATTGGATTTTGTATGATGTTTGATATCCTTAATAAGGGTCGACCCACAAATATTATGTTATCATGATTTATCTTGCCTTCTAGGCATGTTTTTTATCGGATCACTAAAGATCCAATATATAATCGGGTTTCATTAGATTATTTGATCTTATATGGGCTAATCTTATCTTGGCAACCAAACGAAGCCTTAGTGGATTATATGAAATTACTCTCCAGTTTGTACCTATTTTACTCCATTCGAGCTCCACATTTTGAAACAAGATGATCATAAGATCTGTTTCTTTACTTGTAATTTAGTAAATATCATATTGCGGTGCATCAAAAACTGTATTTTTACACAAAACGAGTACAAACTTTAGAACGTTCCACATAATCTAGAAGATTATATTGAATTCGACCCCATCAGAAGAAATTAGAACATTAAAGAAAAAAGACAACATATGAATGAATCCCAAAAAAAAAAAGAAGAATCTTCAATCTAGTTCCAATCAAGAGGAAATAGATGGCGGCAGTATGGACAAACACGATTCTCACTCAGCCATCTCAAGATACAATCTTCATCAAACATATGACGGCACGGCAATTGAACAACACGCGCCCCCTCGCTAAACTCCTCCAAACATATCGAACACTCCGCCTCCACCGCCACACTCTCAATCTCTCCGGCCAAAGACCGTCCGGCGGTCTTCCTCACCGCCTCCGTCCTGCCACGTGGTTTCCCGATGGCTCTGCGGTACTCCAAGTTGAAATTCGGGCAAACCCGCCTCTGCTCATCGAACCAAGAAACCCACCACCGGAATTCCTCTTCCGGCACGAACACCGCCCTGTCGATGTCCAGCGTCGCCGCCACCGAATCCCGATCTGCATTCTCCGGCTTGCCGTCCACCAGAAGAACGAAATCCAACAGTTTCCGGGCGAGCTCGTCTTCGCCGGAGAGGGCGGCGCCGCCGCCGCCGCAGTGAAAACTGTCTTCGATCCAAACGAAGGAGTCCAACGGGAAGGGGACGAGATCTTTGTCTAGGATATCGGAAACCAATGATTCTGGGTGGTTTTTTACGTCGGATGATTTTCTTGTTGCTTTGACGGAGAAGCCGGGGAAAGGGTTGTGCCGCCGTACGTCGTTGTCGGAGAAGAAATCAACGTAGACGTGACATACGATGGAGAATTGGCGTCCGGCGGTGGCTTTTTCGTAATTAACGGGGATGTTTCAGATTCGCGGATTTTGACGTGGGTTATACTGTTTGGATGGGAATTTAACGGCAGAAGCCACGCCGGCGGAGCCATTAATTTAGGACTCTAATTTTTCGGTGTAGATTATTAGTGTTAATGGCGGCTTAAAGAAAAGGCATATTCTCTATTTGTTACATATAAATAACACTTTTGAAAAATATTTTTATTTCCTATTATTTTTAATTTAAAATTTCCAATTTTGCATTAAATGCATATTTTCTAAATAGTAAATTTACCGACCTTTTTATTTAAGATTTTATCATGAGTAAAAATAGTTTATCAGCTAATTATCCAAACACTTTAAAATTTAATTCTAAAAATAAGACGTAACAACTTACAACTCTTAAAATAATATGCATAAGAGACCTTATCAACTGATTAAAATAAGCTAGATATGACCACGGTTCATGTTTGAATCTGAACTGGCTCTAAACCGAACCGGGTAAAAAGGCCGGTTAACCGGAAGCTGAACACTAAGGGTTAGTTCAGATTCGCCTGTATGTGGAACCGCCAGTTCTAACCGAAACATTACAAGGGAAACAAGCAAATCTTTGATAGCCTAAACCTAAAAGATTCATGGTTTCGTTTTAAGTACACACAAAAGACCGATCCAAACTTACAAATTATTATATCCATTGTTGTCAATCCGCACTCGGAATGTTTGTAGCACAAACTTCTTCTACATCGAATACATTACATCCCGAGTAATTGTGTCGATGAAGTGAAACTTTAACATGATACACATTCCACCTACTGTAGCATACCTATGGAGCCAATGCTCGCAAATGTTTAAAAGCATTTCGTCGGCCATAGCTAATGAGGGAATGGTGTGTGATTATTATTATTATGTACAGAAAAAACATGCAAGCCAAAAATATAAAATTTCTAAAACTCGAAAGCTACGAGACTATATGATATCACGGATTTAACCATTTGAATTTAACGAGTATGGTTGAGAATCATTACAGCTGAAGAGAGTTGTCGTGGCTTTTCAGGCACAGTTCTGTGTATCTGAGGATGATGATGTAGTAGACGAGAAAGACGGAAGCCAAATCTCTAGACGGGTCCCACCAACTCCGAAGACTCCATCTGTGTTTCTTGGAGATATAACGCGAACAACACACCCGTAATTCTCCAGTATCTCTCGAGCAACAGTCAAACCTGCAATGAAGTTCCAGGTCATGTTGTCTTCTATCCTACCTTCGCCAGATAGATCTGTCCCAAATGGTGTAAGTGCATGCATTTGCGTCTGCAGTCGATTCGGCAAATAGATTTTACAGTCAAAAATTTAAACAGGCTAAGAATAAAAGAATATTTGCATTAACAAAAACAGTTGGACTCAAACTTCGATTACCATATAGTGCATGTCAGGCCCATCATCATCAATGATGACGAGAGCCCCACCTGCCGGAGCTCCAGTGGAGACAATTTCGATTCTTCCTCCGACTTCTGTTCGTAACAAAGCACCCTCTATTAAATTGCTCAGAGCTTGACGTAAAGCGGGTTCTTCAACCGCAACCTTTAAGGAACTTGAAAGATCACATAGTTCCACAACTCGTTGTTGCTTATGCGCAAGAGGTTTTATCGCTCCAACCAAATCTTGCAGTACGTCGGAAATTGTGCATGGTCTTCTGATATAAGATGGTTAGTAAGAAACGGGGCTCCACTACAGAAATAAAACAATCAAACTATCTGGAAACGTGGAAAAGAAAAGGCTCGAACAGTAGTACATACACACACTAGCTATGATAATATAAATCATGTAGCAAAACAATCACAATATAAATAAGTATATCCAATGCTTTTAAGAGGATTGGAAAACTAAGTAGAAGGAAGGAGAACATACGAATATAACAAAGACGGGAACATCAGAAATTAGCATTTTATTACGAGAGTACCTAATTTCCTGTTCCTGTGAAGGAGCAAGAGCAAGAGGCGGCATGGGAAACTCTGAATCCTTGAAAGTTGAACTAATGGACAATTGACCAGATTCTTGCATCTTAGTGATCGAAGTTTCCATGGATAGGTGGCTACTAGATAATTGAGAACTCATTTCCGGCTTTGCTTTCGACGGCTGTTGCGTGTTCTTTAACGATTCATTGTTATAACGCATTATATTAGCCTACGAAGAAAAAGCAATATACTCAGAGACACAATTACTAATCAAAGTGTTTGAGAAAAATAAATGACTTAGCAAATCAAAAAAATGCAAAAAGGCCTAATCCAAAGAAAAAAAATCAGACATGAATGTTTGTAGTTCTTTATATTTATGTGTTGGCCACGTGATAAACACGAAAACTGAGATATTCCTAACAGGTGATATGATAACCGACAAGTAAAAGATACAGTCAAATAGTTTCTTTGTATAGGTGGTCAGCACCTTTGTCAAGTAGACAGCATCTTGTAGCTGCTGAAGAGTATCTCTCATATGATCACCCTGCACAAGAATGTCTTCAACAATATCGTAGGATATCTGCATCAGAAACGATAAAAGGCATTTAAAAATTGTTCTTTCCTTCTTTTTTTTTTTAAAAAAAATTGATGTGGTGGACTCACCCACCTCACTTCTCTTCAAGTGAAGAGATAACATTCTGCTCAATGTTTGAATGCTGGAAAGAGGGCCTCGAATCTGCAAATCAAATACAGAAAACATCATAATATGTTGCAAATCATATGGCAACAAATTGTAAAGTAGCAAACCTTACTTGCTCAACCAAATTATTCATCCTAACGTTATTTTGCCATGATGATTGCTGCAGTAGCATTGCTTTCTGTAGAGTTATATAGAAGAGATAGTTTCTCAAGATTAGGAAAATCAACACGGGTTGTAACCAAACTAGCCACCAAAAAAAGTTGATATATAAATAAAATCAAGTATGTTCTTTTTTTTTTGAGTAAATTCAAGTCCATTACAAGGGGAAGTAGGGGAGGGGGGGATTCGAACCCTAGACCTTTACCCTATTGGTAAAGGCTAGGTACCAACTCTCCAAATGAGGGTTGGTAAAATCAAGTATGTTCTGCACCACAACATATTGAAATATAATGATCCATGCGTACCTGATCCATGACATAAGCCATGGCTAGTGAACGGGTGATATTTATGGCATTTAATTTCTGTTCGGTGGAAAACTTTGGCATGTCGACCGAGTGATCCTCGAAAGTTTGTACATCCAGTGATTGTGGATCCATGCTTTGGGGCAAGGAAAAAGATTTTCCAGTAAACGGACGCTCTTCTGCGTCACGCCATTCTCTCTCTAGACCCACCTTTGGAAGCTCAGCAACTAAGAAGCCCACAACAAATGGATGTGTTACCATGGGGAAAACTACAGCACCAAGCTCGGGAAAAACTTCTGCCTATAAATGAAGGGAACATCTATTAGTAACTCACAAACAGAACAAACACATCAATTTGTTTTAGTATCCAACAAACGGGGAGTACAAATCCTTGCCTGTTGACTTGAAATCGCCGCTTCTGCAACTCTTAGTCCAGCTGGCATACTAAAGTTACCAACTAAAACAACAATATCAGCCGCATGTACACCAGGATAAGAAGTCACACGACGCAACTCCAATCGATCCATGACATAACTACCAGCCGGTCTGACATAGACCTGTGGTTAACTTAATCCTGTTAGAACCTACTACGTGTATAGGGCCATATAAAGTATCAGAACATCACTATATAGCCTTATCCGTATAGAAAGAACATTCTGTCCAAGTCCTTCCATCGAGATTATTGAGATTATTCAATTTCGTCGAGGAACATCACTAACATCATTGAATTAAAAAAAATCCAGCCCTATTTTAACAGCTTCTTCTTCAATCACTTGGCCAACATCATTAATTTAATAAACTGATAAGCTTACGGAAAAAAAAATGGTTCCTCGTCTAGCATACGACTTCCTAAATACCAATTCAATATTGTCGCAAAATAAGCTCGTCAAATTGACAGCAGAAACAAAGTAAAATTTTGACAGCAGTAATAACAAATTTAACAGACCTAATTTGTAAAATCACTTGTTTGTAATCAATGTAACCTCAATCATGGAACTGCAATTCGGCAAGTAAAATAAAAAACTAATGATAATAATAAATCTTAAATTCACGAATTGCATGATAAAAAAAAAAGCCTTCAGAAGAAGAACATGATCTCAACATAGCATAATCAAATCAACTATACCGAGAGAAGAGCATCGCGGTCAACGATGCGGCGGAAGAGATCGAGCTGCTCGAGACAAAGCCGCTGAAAATCCTGACTCGGCAGCACCAAAGCCTTATTCTCAGCGGCGGCGCCGCGGCTGCCTCCTTTCTCTATCCTCTGGACGAACTCCACCGGAGAAGTGGACGCGGCGCGTATGGCCGCTGCCAGGGCAGCTGCAGATGGCACCATCGAGTCCTCATCCTGCGATTTCTCGTCGTCGTCGTCGTCGGAAGTGAAGCTGACTTGTCGGAGGGAGGTGGAGGCGGTGGCGGCGAGGAAGAGGGGGCGCTGAGCGGAGGTGTTGGCGGTGGCGCGGCAGGAGCAGGGAGAGTGAGGCTGGGGTTTGATGTAATTGGGTGGGAAGAGAGGGGCAAAAGTGTAATTGGAAAGGGTAGTTGGGAATGGAGTTTGTGGAGGGAATGTAAAGAGCAGCATTTGGTTGGGTGATAGTGATAAATGGAGTTTTTCTATTTTTCTTTGGTTTTTTCACACTAATATAAATAAAGCAGCTTCCATATAAATAAATGGAGTTGAGCTCAAATTTCCAGAAGCTATTGGGCTTTAGTGGAGTGGATTTTAGGAGGGAAATATTTTCTTCAATTAAGTAATTAAAAAATAATATAAATAAATAAAAAAGAGGTATCCTAGCAAAAAATTAGATATTACACCTGATGATTATTAATAGTAGATCTCCACATAATTAAACACACACACACACTTATGTATATGTCTGTTTAGTAGACGGTTATTTAATTTTATTTACTTACAGTTAACAATCACCTCTATAAGTAATCCGTCTGGTGCAATATCTAACTCATCGCTTAAGGCGACAATTTTGTGTTGTGATCTGTTACCTATTCCATTACTTGTACAAGGAACCGATGGTTCAACTAATTAGTTAGTCATTAGAGAATTCATATAATCCAATCTAATTCAATCTATGTAACTTAACAAGACTTAAGGCATCGTTTGCTTACCTATATCGGATTAGATAAGATTGGATTAATTCTCTTTCGATTAACAATATGATTGGCTCGCTAGATAACATGTTGTATTAAATTTGTTAGACTATGTTATTATATGTGAGTTGTCTATAAAGACTTTTATTTAACAAAAGCAAGTTATTGATTTAAGGACAAAATTGTAAAATTTTCATTTCAGTTACCATCTACAAATTAATTGCTGAGGGACAGATGTTACTAATTTCATGACATAGTAACACTTAAATTGCGGGATTGAGTATTGTTGAATCTTATCAAAAACATCTTATTAATTCCTACTATTTAGTTAATCGAATTATTGGATTGATTATTATTTTGTTGCGATTAAAAGAGATCCATTCTTTGGTCACACAAATTATTGCATTGATTATTATTTTGTTGAGAATTTTTTTCACCACAAAGTAAAAAAAAAAATTAAAAAAGAAAAGAAAAAAAGACCTAATAATTAGTTAGTGCATGTGACAAGCCTTATTCAATGGAATTGGAGGGTCCGAATAAGCACCACTAACAATTTGATCAAAAACCCATTTATTAGCAGCCTCGGTGTAATGCACCCCATCCCAATTAATCGCAACCGTTGGATCCTTGCATGATTTTCCCACCATGATTTCTTTACCATGTACTTTGATCTTGCTCCCACAACCATGGTGCATGTTGAAGTTGTACTTTCCTCCATGCCCACAACATGCTTTTAGTGGGTGCACAAAACCTGCCATTCAAAATCACAAACACTTCAACTAGACAACCGAAACGAGGTTTATACTATGCTACATCGGGTGAAATACATCGAATATATTTTTATCATTGATATACACACAAACATACATATATCCACATTAGTGTGTGTAAAAATTCACTCACTGTAGCATAGAAATAACTCCAAAAAATCAGCAAAAACTACATTGCATTTTGTCCGGAATAACTTATAACACCGGTCTTTCCTTGAAGTTTGGTCTAATTACGCTCCCTAATATTCAAATACCTAATCGAATCATCTCCAGTCAACACTTAACTTTCATCTGATCTTTGACTTTCTGGAAATCGACAATCTTACCAAAGAGAAACTGACTAGAATTCTTTTTCTTTTTTGCACTTAATAAAGTCCAGCGTTTAATACGACAGCAGAAAATTCTTTTAAGTTTCTCAAATTATCTTGTTTTTTGTGAGAAATATGATTTTTTTTCCAAACACAATGCAATATAAGTGTACGTAATTAGACCTAATTAACACTATTTTTACCCTTTTGTCACCGTCACGCCCTAAAAACTCGAAAATTTTGAAGAAAAAGGATATTATTAATTACCATGTTTTTTGGCTTGGCTAATAAGCTCGTACTTGACCGAGTAAACATCAACATATGTAAAAGCTGCAGAAGGAAGATCCTTCCTCAACTGGACAACAGCTTCCTTTAATTTGAGGTTGTAATATCGAGCAACCTCGTTGAAAGGAGTCGCGCATCCAACCTTATCCACTTGTCCGGCTGTGATCGGAACGCGGTCCATCACGTATGGCAGACAACCTACCGGGCCGGTATTGTGTATCCAAAATGACCTTCCTCCGTGATCATATATATACTGCACGTATGTTAATTAATTAATATGCGAAAAAAAAAATTATGAGAAATATTAATATTTATAATTAAACAAATTTGTGTTGTTGTACCGTTAGTTTTTTTTTTACCTTAACAACGGTCTTGAATTGGTCGAGTACATCGGGAACGTATTCTCTAACTTGGTCGGTTGTCATGTTGAAGAAATAGCCTGCTGTAAGATCGTTTTGACCGATATCGAATGTGTATAAAGCGTGCGAGAAATCTTCTGCATTTGGCAATAGTCGTGCGAAAACTCCCCCTATTTACGAAAATGGTTCAAAATTCGAAAATTAGGCTTGTAGTCTTGATTTGCTTAGATAAATGAACGAGTTATTGTTATTAATTAAATATACCTTGGTTGCGTATGTATTGAGATCTTCGTTGGAAATCGTTGAATTGATAGTATTGTACGTTTAGAGAAAAGGGGCTGAAGCCGCTCTGATGTAGAGTCATGTTTTGGGGTCGGATCGTCGATCCGGCGGTCGCGAAATTGGCTCCATTAGTGAAGTTGGAGCCCAATGCGTCAAGGTATGCACTTAGATACGGTAGCCCCAAGCTTTCGGCTGTATATTTATTAAGAATTGTAATAAATATGCATGGATTATAGAAAAAATAAAAAATAAAATAAAATAAGACTACGTCATTCTCACTAATTGTTTTTTTTTTTCTGAGACCTAATGTTTGAAATAATTTATGAGTAAAATAATAAATTTATTACTGAAATTCTAAAGTGACAGATGAACATAAAAATCGTCTTTTATAACTGCATTTGTACTACTACTATATATCATAGTGACAATAAACATGTCAAAATTATATATATATATATATATATATATATATATATATATATATATATATATATATATATATATATATATATATATATATATATATATATATATATATATATATATATATATATATATATATATATATATAAAAGAAACACTATTTTCCTACTAGTGAAAATATATCTTACCAATAAAATCAATGACTAGTCGGCCATCAGAGTACCGACCGGCCGGTCCGTGGAAGTAGGACTCGCCGTTGGGGGGAGGAGCCTGGCCGAAAGCGGCCGACAAGCCGCCAGTGTCGGAATTCGAGTCGCCGAAGTTGAATATGGCCGGAAAATGACAAGGACCACCACCACCACCGCCTGTAGCATATGCTAGCTGGGGTACTACTGAAAAGCAGCTTAGTGAAAATAGTGAGAAGCAAATAGTGAATAGTAATTTTGTGAAGCAATTAGGAAATTCCATTGCAGAGAAAGTGGAAGAGAAGATAATTCTAAGCTAAGGGGATTTATAAAAAGAAAAAATAAAAATAAAAATGGAGGAGTAGAAGGCATATTTATGCTTGTCCGATTCACGTGTTTGGCTAATAAGCATGGTCCACTACAAAAAATGAAAATTATAATTTAAAAAAAAAATGTAAATTACGGCCACCCCTTAGGTAAAAAAAAACCCCTCGTGTTTGGGTAATTACAACCTCCAATCATCTATGAATCTTCTTACACGCTTACCCTTGCGGTGTCAAATTTAGTGGAATCTTTTAGATTATGTGAAATATTCTCTAGTTTGTACCTGTTTTTATGTCAATTTTTGAAACAAGATGATCATAAGATCTTGGCTTGTACATATCACATTGTGGTGCATCAGAAACTTCATTTTTGCACAAAGCGAACACAAACTAGAGAACATTCCACATAATCTAGAAGATTCTGTTGAATTTGAAACCGTAAGAGTAAATATTAAGAAAATTTATAGTTGGGTCATTGTAATTATTCAAACATGAAGGATTTTTTTGTAATTTAATATTATCTCTGAAAGTGGTCGTTCAAACTAATTTTATGATAAGCCTTATCATCATGTTGTGAATGCTTCAACGATTTCAGTTATCAGATGACTTATATATAACGCAAGTTGTAGTGTAACTATATATATTCTAATTGTAAGAAAATACAATTAAAAGTGACTACATTTGCCTTTTTCCCCTATAAATAACAATTAAAAATGCGGCTTTTTTTCCCAAGAAGTGATTATTTATTTGTGTGTAACTGATTAAAGTTAGTAGTCATTGGGCGACAGGTGGCATTGTGTGTTGGTTTGTACTTTTGTTTCTTATCATTGTCTCTTTCTATTTTTGGAGATTCTAAAGATAGCTAACCATTTTTTGTAAAGGATTTTGAGTATGGGCGTTCGTTCGGTGAAACCGTACTGCAATTTCGGTAAACCAAAAATTTGTGAGGTTTATCGAAACGAACTATTCGATTCGGTTCGGTTCTTACAGTTTTTTGCCGAATTAATTTGGTTTTTTCAGTTCGGTACGAGTAAAATCGAAAATATATTTTCTTATTTTTAAAAAGTTTAAAAAAAAAAGTGACATTCATATTTCAATAGTCGGCCCTAAAAACAAAAGGTGATTACCGATAGAGGCTAATTTGTAAATAATGGAAAAACTTATCAATCTTTAAGTATTTTATAATTCCTTATAATTTAAAGGATTTAAAATAAAATAAAATAAAAAGATAAATATATATTCAATATTTTGGTATTATGTACGGTATAGCATGCATCAATATCATATACCGTACCGAATACCGAAATTCCAAAAAGAATATCAAAATTTCGGTTCGATACGATTTGGTCGGTTTACCGATCGAGTGAACACCCCCTCCACTACTCATTCAGTGCCAAAATAATTTTCGCATAATATCTTTTCACTTTAGAATAACGTATGTTTCTCGATTTTGCTATATTTGTCATTTGAAAGAGAATTAGCTCATGCATAATTACTGACAATCTTAATATACGGGCGTCAATAACTCAAAGCGACAGATAATTTGGCACAGAAGGAATAAAAAATAGAGCATAGCTATAGCCTATAAATATATGTTAATCCATGTATAATAATACCACACCATATCTCTTGAGATCCGAATTGGTATAAAGTTTGTAAGATAACCAAACAAAGGGCAAAACCACTTTTAGACAATGATTTGAATCACTAGCATGCGTTGAAAACTTTATCCGTGTCCCCAAATTGTATTTCCACAAAATCAAATCAATTAAATAAGTGGATACAAAGACAACCACTTTTGATGCTATGTAATAATCTCACATGAAAAGAAATTAATACACAACAGAAATTAATGCAGTAAGTCAAAACAAAAAATAAAGATTTAAGACAATGTGTGCATTGCATTACATTGAAGTACCTAATTAGAACAAACAATACAAAAATATAAGATCCTAGTGAGAGAAACAATTTTTACAAATTATGATCAATATGCAACAATTAAGGCAACAGTTTTCCTTTATGCCAGCAGCATTCAACAAATGCTAGTAGATTTTATATATCCTCCTCACACCAAAATTATAACAAAACAAAATACAAGGGGATGCCGGTGCGTTATTGTAGTCTCTAACTACGCGGACGAAAAACCAAAAAGAGAACTCGAAGAATCCACAGTTGTCAGTCAATGCTGTTGTTCACCACCTTGAACCTGACCTGCCAATTCACAATTCAAATCAATCCATATGCATATGATATATATATATATTATTCAAACCAATATTCCGAAAATCACAAACAGTGCCACAAACTTAAAAGATTCTAATATTATTCTTCAACATTGGAATAGTTAGTTTTAGGAAAGAGAACGAGGGCAATTTTGAAGATCAACACAGAAAGATCCAGATTTTCGTTCGTTATGCTCAAGAAGAAACAACCACCAAGAAACTCATACCATTCGTAAGATACTCGTAAGATTTTAAGGCTATATAGCTTAAACAAGCTTATATTTTCAAAAAGAAAAAAACAAAACCCGAAACTACTAAAGGATGAAAAAGAAAGAAAAAAAGAGTACCTATCGACATCTCTGCTGCCAAAAAATCCTCTTCCACCACCACCTTGAGTAGCCCTTGTGTCGTCACTCGGTCTTGCCCATGAATTAACAGTGCCACGCGAACGAGGCCTCTCAACAAAGTCAACACCTCTGTTAGGATCTTGATATGCTCCAGTGGTGAAAGAAGAAGATCTTTGAGGGAAGTTACCTCCTCTAGACTCATCATAGGCTGGTCCGGGCCTGGAACGGGGTCTATCACGAGAGCCAGGCCGAGAGTGAGGGTCTTCATATGCTCCATGTCGAGACGGAGGCCTTTCACCCTGTGATGGAGGTCGATCCAAAGCGGCTCTAGGATTCTCGTATGCTCCACCTGCAGCAGAACCTTGTCTCTCGAAATTTTTCTGAGTGTATCGGATTTTGTCGTCCAATTGAAGGACCAATAGTTCCAATTCTCGCTCCTTTTGGAGTATAAGATCGTTTATAGTGGTTTGGTCGTCGTCAGATTTAAGCAGGAGTTCCTTTTTCAACTGTTCGATTTCTTCCTTCAACTTTCTTTCTTCCTCTGTCTCAGACCTGATACAAATTATTACTTTTGGCAGTCAGAAATAATATATCACCAATTGGCTGTATAACACAGTTCAAATGCATTGACTCAAACACTCAGACAGAAAATTTATAAACAAACAGTAGAAATTTGATCATGAATTTGTAACTGTTTGCTTATGTATCTAGCAATCTACTTCTCTTGTAGCCTGTACACAACTAAGTGGCCAGCGCGTCAAAAAGGGTAAGTTTCCAAAGGGCAATTTACCATGTTACTTAAGATATAACCGAAGATGCAAACATATCGACATGAATAACTGTTGACCAGAAGAATATGGCTACCTTTTTTCCATCCCTGCTCGATATTGTTTAACCTATATGCAATATAGTGATTCAATCTTGGCATGATTTTCTTCTAAGCTACTCATGCAACTTCTAACCAAAATATGTAGGCAGCTACAACAATCTCAACAAAAAGATTTGTATCGACTGTGAGGACGAGTCAAAACATCAACTAGGGAGGGCTGCGTTGGGAGCATTTGGTCAAAAGTGTATTTCAAATACCTCTTGGTTCAACTATGAGATAGTACAAACATTCTTAGATCTACCAAGTCTCAATTAGGATTTGTAAACTTTGTTACAGTAACAATAGACCTAGTTTGCTCCCAACATTATCACAAGGTTTAAAAATGTATTTTACTCCTTATTTCAGACAATGTTATCAAGCACTGTATATCTCTGTCCTTGGATATGGTGGTGGGACCATTGGCAAATATTAGGTAGGTTATCTCTCTCTCTCTCTCTTCTCACCCTCCATCTTCCTTCCATTTCTGCAATCCTTTTCATTTTGCTTTTGAAGCCTCAACAAACCCCAATTGGAGACTAGTAACTCTTATCTTGAAACTTTTTATAGGTATCTCTTTATGGTATATCACCTCCAGCATACAAAGTCAACATACTAGGCTATGTTTGTTTACGTTTTCAAATTCTTTTTTCATTGGAGAATACATAAATTAGTGTTTCTTTACCATTTCAAAACTCCTCCCAGTTTTACTTACTCGCCAAACCGTAAACCAAAATCATCGAACATTTTAGACATGATTTGGCTGTGACACTAAAAAATGTCTCCTACTTTATTTCAATTTCTTCTCACTATGAACCTTCTTCTATCACAACTTTTCAGACATAAAGACCGCTACAGCTACAGTAATAACTTTATTCTCCCAACACATAAACAAACGTTACTTTCATTGTCAAAAGAAAACAAGAAAAATAAAAAATCAAAACAGAAAGACTTGAAAGAACAATGTTGAAGGACTCGGCAAATAATTAAATGAAAATCTATCTAACCCTAAAATGTAACCAAACATATCTTAGAATTTCACAACCCATATAGTTCGAAACACATAAATCAACATCACTCACACCCAACAAATGTAACAATGGAACTGGGTCCAACTATATCTCGCATCCGAACTACATCAACTTCCTATGTACATATTGCTGAAAGAGCACTAGTCAACGAACCTAACACAATTTGACACCTGTATTTCTACATCCAACGCATCCTGCATACATTCCCTTCTTAATGCTCGCACAAGTAAGATTCCTTTGAGAAAATGATGCTCATTCTCACTAACGCTATTGACATCTAACATTTTTGTTAACCACTCGTTACAATTTCTTAACACAAAATATACCAGCAACGCTAACTGCAGTGAAGACTAGTTGTTCCTATTCCTTCAATTACACATCCCTTTCCAAAAATGAAAAGAGGATGGCAACATAGTATGACATTAATGGAAATATTGTATGAAGATATGCTAAAGAAAATATTTAAAGTCGGTGGACGAGGAAGAGCAACCCAAAAACCAAAACAGTTATAGCATCTCAACTAAATGACTTCTCAATCCCAATATTCAGCCGAAAGATCTTTGCCTGATCTTTAAACATATTTACTACAAATAGTACTTGATTAATTGATAGAATTAGTCAAGAAGGTATACCCATTAATGATACACTTCTGATACAGAAAAGTCCCTAATTAGCAGGTAAAAATGTAAAGCGGATAATATAAACGCTGACGTGATGAGGTATGATACTTCAACCCTCTGCCTTATGGAAACCGAATGAAACCATCTAAAATTTTTCCAATCTTAATTAAAGCACATAATTAATCTCACATAAACTCATTTGTTTAGAACTTCTCGAATTTGTTTATAATCTAAAGAAACAAACTGAAGAAACTTCATAACTGCCAATTCTAGACATGTCATATTAAAAGCAACCAGTTGTACATTTATTTAATCAAGAGAATACTCATCATGTGTCCAAATTTTCAATGACATCTATATAAACAACCAACTCATCTGCATACTTCTCCTGGCCCTCCTCCTTCATCAAAGACTTACAAGGACCTCAACAACCAAGACCACCCCCCCCCCCCCTCCCCACCCCCACACCCCCAGTTGCCACTTTATCCAACAGATAGTCAACAGTCTAAACAACCAACACTGCAACACATTTGCTCCAGTGTCCTTTACCAAAAACTCCCAAGCACCTCACTCTCATCCCCACCCCAACAAAAGAAACGGGTAGCTACATTTATCATTCCACGCACAGCCTATTTGAATAATGCTAAACACACTTCCTACTAACCACTTTCAGTTAGAACTTACATCACAGCAACAGGCATCGTGACAGTTTTCAGTAGCAGTATGGAAGCTAAATTCCCGTCTTACACTCACCCAAATCATCAGACACAATGCAGTTGTAAATGTGACACGACTATAATGCTTCTACTCCAAAACTCAGAGATGGCTGGCTACACTCAGAAATGCAACTCTTTCTTTCATGGCGAAAATGGTAAATAAAAGATGTGTTAACATCATAGAGTAATAGGAGCACAGTCAAAAGATTACCTCTCAACTCGACGATGCTCCAATTCAAGATCAATCTTCTTCCAATCCAAGCCTTTCTCCTGAAGCAAAACTTCCCTAGGTTTAGCATCTCCAAATGGATTCACCTTCGGTTTTTGCTTCACTGCAACTTCACCCTCTCCTGCCGTCAAAACTGGACTCTCCGGCCTACTCGACTGCGAACTGGCGGGCTTCTTCCCTTCAGTCTCCAAATCCATCTTCTTCCAATCCAATCCCTTCTCCGCCAACACCTCCTCCCTCGGCCTAGCAGCCCCAAACGGATTAGGCTTGTTAACTTTCACCACCACATCAGCTTCTATTTTAGGAGAATCCAAAACCGATCTTTGTTCGTTTCGAGTCCAACGATCAGACTCGGGCCTGGAGTAGCCCGAACCGAAGCTTGACGACCTACTGCCTTGTTGGTGTGGTTGAGGAATTGGTTTCTTAGCAGACGCCCAGCTGTCCACCTCATCGGCCCGTGAACCAGCTCCAGGGCTTCCCCCTGCGCCGAGTGAGCTGTACTTACCCCCGGGTCGGGCTTGACCCGAATTGAACTCGGGTACGATTGGTTTCTTCATGGAAGCCCAATTATCAACCTCATCGGCACGCGAGGGTTGATTCATTTCCGGAATCCTAGGTTGAGGCGGGCCACCACGGCGTTCATCTTCCTGAAATCCGTAAGATCTCCGACCATCGTACTGCTGCTGGTCGCGGCCCTGGTTGGGGCCTGCGGATCGGGTTCCGTAATTTGAAAACCCGCCGCCCAATCTGCCGTGCTGCATTTCGTCGGGGGAGCGCTCCTTAGGGCGGGTGGGGAGCCGGAACATTTCGTCGGGCGTGAGGCCGCGGCTCGGAGCCGAGCCGGAATAGGGGGAATCCTGGGTCCGGAACTCGTGAAGGGTCATTTTGGTCTTTTTCTTCTGCTTCGTGGCGGTGGTGACGGCTTCCTTCAGGCTGGGGAAGCTGGGCGTCGATTGGGCGGCGGCGGCGGCGGCGGCCTCCTTCTCGGCGGCTTCGCGCTCCTCGGCCTCGGCGCGCTCCGCCTCGGCGGCCCAGTTCCCGACGTTTCCCCATGGCGATTTCGACATTTTTTTTCGCGAAAAATGAAATCTGTAATTTCACAGCAAATAGCAATAACTGTTTGCCCCAATTTTTCACGAATTGAAGATATTTAATTAATTAATTTAATTAATTAAATATAGAAAGAGCAAATTAATTTCTCTGTAGACGAACTGCTCCGAAATTGGAGCCGTAGGGGGTAAACTCGGGATGGCATAAAACACGAGTGTGTGTGTGTGTGTGAGAGAGAGAGAGAGAGATGTAGAGAGAGAGAAGGGCATAAAAGACTAAAAGAGTAAAAGACGACCGCAAATGCAATAAATTTTCTATTAAATTCTTCTCTCTTTTTCTTGAAAAAAGAAAAGGGGAATATCACAAACTCGATAAAAGAAAATCTAAACTATTTTTAATTTATATCGCACCCCTATTACTATACGATACTAATTAATTGCCCTCAAACTAATTAAATCGTCAAGCACCACCCTAAACTATATACCTTTTCGATTAAGTACCCACTTAAATTGTTAAAAATATTTAATATCACTTAACCTCAATAAATTAATTGAATGAACAAAAATGGCCTTGTACATATCTTTTGTTATATATAATTTTATTATTAGTTAAATTAAATGAAATTGATGGGCGTCAGTTCGTCACTTTTGGGCCGAGCTGCCCATACTCAAGACTAGTGGGCTGAAGCCCAACGGAGAATTAAAGATAAATCTGTAATCGAGGTGACCCGTATATCGAATAAGCCAAATCCTAGCGAATAAGGAAAATCGAGATAAGCCAAGGTATTCGTCGGAAAGTGAGCACATAGATACGGAGGCCAAAAAGCTCGCACAACTGGAAAATCATTATTACACTTCACCTCATAAGATGTCAGCTCGCAAGATAGAAGCGAGAGTGGTGGCGAGCTCAACAGCAAGCATTATGTGGAGAAGATTGGAGTGTATTTTCTATAAACAAATAAGAAAAATGCAAATTAACGACTGATGATTGATTGATCGATAGATAATGTAAATTAAGGTCGGATAAAAAGGTCCTAGATCAGGAAAACAATCGTATACACTTCCCTACATAAATAAACGTACAAAACCCCTATTAGGGTTACGCATACAATTAATAATACAACATATACTTTCTCTTGTGGAAAAAGTGCATGCAGCAAAGGCAAAACGAATACAAATATTCATAGCTAACGACGAAAATTCGTTCGTCGCGAAATTAATTGTAGGAAAATATCACATAAGACAGTGAAATTACATAATTTAGGAATATAAAAAGTATAACATAATATTTTCTTAGGTTATAATTAAGTGCAGTTTAGGACAAAGAGAGCACATCCGTGGGTTTCGATTTGTGCGGAGACGGAATCTTTTACATCTCCGAAATCTTTCCGACTCCATTCTTCTCTGCTTTTGCACGAAGCCTTGTCGAAATTCTTACCCGGAATTGCCTTGCCCAAATCTGCTATCTTTATCGATATATCGGCCTTCTGATCATTCAAATTGAATATCGCGACATAAATTTCTCCTGATAAATGAAAAAATCGATCGTTACGTATAAATCTGCATATTCGAATTACTTTAAATTCCCAAGAAGTAGTTGAAGATTATTAGTAAAATAACACCGAATTTTAGAAAAAAAATAAACCTTTTCTTCCGGTTGCAATCCAAGCCCGAACACCGGTGGAGACGGAATTAGCTGCATTGTAGTGAAACTTTTAGCAATTATATGTAACAAAATAACTACTAAATAATCAATATATATATATATATATATATATATATATATATATATATATATATATATATATATATATATATATATATATATATATGTATATATATGTATGAAATGACCACCTTTGACTGTCTTCATAGATGCACATAAACCCGAGTAGCTATTCATCAGGTGCCGTTGTGAGTCAACTCCCACATCTGTCGCAACCGAAATAATTTCGTTTTCGAAGTATTAAAGAAACGCGATCCACAATTTAACGAGCGAGAAAAATGCAATCCTCGAAATTAATTACCTGGTTGGCATGAAATCCGCATGGCGAAAACGGACCCCTTTTCGATTCTTTAGAAGTAAGCTTTCGATTTGGAGACGCACCTAAACAATCCGACTTCTCCCTCTCCAGTAAATGAACTTTATCTCTGCATCCAAAATTAAAAAATATAAATAAAATTCCTCAATATAAAAAATATAAAAAAATAAAATTATTACGATGTCGGAATAGGCTTTCGTTTGTATAGGCAAAAAGGCTCTTTAAGCCCGTTTCTCGATTTCTCATTCCAGCACACTTGTCCTAAATCACTAATCGACCACCCTCTCGCATCGACATCGTTGCAGCTAGTGAGTCCCGGTGTACTACTACTCCCTATGTTCGAAATTCTCGATTGGGAATTTCTTATTCGACCCTTTTTCGTACTCGAAATATACGGAAACTGCGATGTTGTTTTTTTAAGACAAGAATTAGAATGAAAAAAATTACGTTAACGAACATTCGATAAAAATTAAAGTCAAGAAACACGCCTCTTTATTGTTTGAGCTGAATGAGTTGATCTCCAAGAGAGTAGGATTAGTGATTAGACTCAGTGTCGACTCGTCCAGCTGTCTCATATCTCCTCCGAACATGAAAGGCGACTTCGCCATGGCCCACAACGTCACCTGTAATATTAAGCACTCACATCATATATATATACATATATAACATACTCGCACACGACTAACAAATATACCTGAGATCTTTGTTCATCGAGAGTAAGATTGCCTTTCCGATGAGGGCCTTCATTCGAACCTAATCAATATATCACATCAATTATTAACTAATTCGATACCGATCTTAAGAATAATATAATTTTCGATATATATATATATATACCTGCATTAGAAAGCCATCCGAGTGGAAGCATATCTAAATCGGGCCACGATTTTCCGCGCAGTCCCCTAGCACCGATCATATTAGCAGCGGCAAAATCCCTAGTGTAGAAAAATGCGTGCAAGAAATATAGAAACATTCGAGTTAAACGAAGAACATTGTAATAATTCAAATATAAAAAAAAAATATTCCAAATAAAATCAACTAATTTTAATTTACCGAGAAACGTCGAAATGGGCAGCTACATCTTTCCAATTATCCCAATCATCCCCCGTAATTCTGTACATGTTGACAAGGGCACTAACGTCTTTTGCCATGGATGGAGTCGCACTAGTTCCGGGCGATAACGAATACAGGATCGTGTGATTAAGCTCCGTTAAGACCTGCATCATTTTTACAAAGATGATTAAATTAAATAATAAATTAAAAAAAAAAAAAGGGATACGAATAAGTTGTACCTTCGACACGTAGGTTATCTCATCTAGATCAAAATCCTCGCCAAATACACAGTCGTGTTTAACTGTTTACAAACGAGAAAGTTAGCTAGTGGAATATTTATTTTCGTATACGAACAACTATTTAACTACGCGAAATGCGTAATATTATCTTTTAATTCATATATATACATTCTTCGACTGTTTGAATCAAAAATCAAAAATACCGAAATCAACTCCCCAATCAGCATATTGTTGATAAAGCGACCGAAGGAAAGCTAAACCAGCTCCCGATTTCGTATTCACACTCATAAAACCGTTTTTCATCCACGCGCAAGCCCTCTCCTTTATTCCTACGTCTTTCGCTCTCCACGTTCGACCCGATTCTTCGTAAGCTTTTCCCTATACACACACAGGCAATCAATATATTTCGATTTTAACCCCAAATTCTTAAAAAAAAAAAATCAAGAAAATACGATAATTAGCAGCATTAAATATATGTACCGTGGTAACATCGAGGATAGGGGTGTTTGCGTTGAATGCTTGTGTGCTAATGCCTCTCATTACATGAATACCGAATTTCAAACCCATGCTATGAACTTTCTTGGCCACTTCGGCGAACCCTTTTCCGTTCCGGGTCGAAGGCCAACGAACCGGGTCGGGTACCATCCTGCCCCATTCATCGATAACATCGAACCCGAGAGAATTTGTATTAGCACCTTCCACTTTTCTTCTGTACCAAAGAAAATCCACCACCACATACTGTTTTTGCACACACACACACACACACAAAAAAAAACATTAAACATTTTCACTAATTAATTAATTAAATTAAATTAAATTAAAATAAAATTACCTCGTATCCATGATTTTTCAGGCGCTGAGAAACAAGTTGGGCGTTTTGGAGGAATTCTTCTTCAGAAATAATCCAGCTGTACGAATCGTACGAGTTCCAACCACGGGGTGGTGAGCTGGCATGCTCTGCTTCTCCTCTGATCAGGCTAACACATTATTCCAAAGATTCAATTTTTAAATTTTTTTTTTCCTTTTTCTTGAAATTAAAAATAAATAAATAAATTAATTAAATAAATTCAGGAGATTATTGTTGTTACCCCAGAATAAAGGAATCTTTTCTCAATGTGTATAAGCAGATCAAACCCAATTATAGAAGTAATTCTTGAAATAAGTGCCGGAGTGTAAACATTTTGCCTCTAAATTTAGTAATTATAAATAATTCTGTTGGTTTCTTGATTCCAGAAATGAGTTGGGTTATCAAGAAATTAATTGAATTTTTAATTACCAATTAAAAAAAAAAAAAAAAAAAAAAAACTGAATTTCAAGAACTGGGTCTCCATTAAACACACACAATACTACAGAGTGTCTAATTTCACACACATGCAGAAGAGAGAAAAAAATATTCTAGAGAGAGAAATATTCTAGAGAGAGAGAGAGAGTACCTTTGAAGGAAAAGAGTGGAGAGGAAAGTGAGGATGAGGAAGGTAAGAGAAAAGGCTCTCATCGTATATATCAAAATCACTACTATTACAATATTACAAATTCAAGAAACAAATTATTTTTTCTTTCTTGCAGTACATATATATATATATAATATTATATATGCATATATTTGTGCGTGGAGTGTTGTATTAATGAGGACGATCCTTCCAATATATATATATGTATTTATGTGTGTGTGTGTTTTGAGCGTGGAGTAGTGTTGGAATATCTGATACTGGGATCTTTATCACTTTTTTTTTTTTTTTCTTTTTTTAATTATGATTTATGATGACGGTGGTGCATGTAGTTTCGACGGCGGCGGTTTAGCATTAATATTAGAGAGATCGCCTTTCCGGTCAACGAATTTTTTTCTCCGGGAGTATATATTATATTAATATCAATTAATAAAAGGCTTAATTCCATTTTGCGCCCTTGAAATATAGCATTTTTGGCACTTTGCACCCTTGAAAAAAGTTAATAGCACTTTGTACCATCGAAACACAATAAATCATTTATAGTGCACTCTAGATTAAATATTAAAAACTTAATGAGAGCAATTTTATATTTTGTTGGTCTTTTATTTATAGGGTGCAAAATAATAAATTAAATTATTATTTTCTTCTACATCCACCTAATTTGGAGGGTGCAAAGTGCAAGAGGAAAAAAAATTCAATTATTAGAAAATATAATATATTTTCTCACTAAATTATTCGTTTGATGAATCTTCTATTGTAACTAGTAAATATATTTGGTACAAATCTTTGAAGAAAAAAGATAATTTTTTTATAACAAAATAGCTGAAGGAATTTATTTTTTTTTTTTTAATATCTTTTTGTGATAAAAGATCTAATTTTTAAATATGTTGATGTAAAAAATATTTCATTTTTTTTCGATTTGTAGTTTCGAAAGAATTGACGAATACAAAAGTTTTTGATTTGAGATTTGGCATCCTAAAAAATACCACTAAAAATATTAAATTATTTTTTTAGATTTAAATATTCATTCGGTGCATTATGCATGATTTATTGTGTTTTTAGGATTCAAAGTGCTATTACTTTTTTTCGAGGGTGCAAAATGTCAAACGTCTATATTTCAAGGGTGCAAAGTGAAATTAAGCCATTAATAAAACGTGTCTTAAAAACGACGACGTGACATGGTGTAAAGGTTGTTGACGTAACATTTATTACTCGATTGTTTAAGGAAGACACGCAACAAACATTAAACATATATGCCTGGTTGCATGTCTCTATATATCGTAATAATATTTCGAAAAATAAATAAATAAATAAAAAGCGTGAATTATATGGTTAAGCCTAAGAAAATATAGTTAAATCAAATTGAGTAAATTGTGAGCATTAATTTGACATTAATGTGTTATAAATAAGATAACAGTAGTGCTAATTAAATTGTTATGACTGGTAGAGATGACCAAAATAGTATAGTAGCACTATATCCTCTTGTTAAATGGCACGCTACCCAAATATTTTATTTTATTAAATAAAATAATTAATATAGTAATTAATATATATAGAGAGAGTGTTATTTATTGAAATATTTTTTTATAATTAATGATGTATATTATTTATTATAAATGAAATGTTAATTGTAATATAATAATTATTCATTCTCTTTATTTATAATAATATCTATAAATATTTTCATCATGTTTTAACATATCTACAACTATTTCTGGTATTGTAATTGTCTAATAACCATAGTTCGAGGGATGTGGAGACAAGTTATTATAATAACAATAAAAATAATAATAATAATTATTATTATTATTATTAGAAAAGAAATAAAACATTATTTTCACAAATCAATTTGGATTCAAGCAACTACGAAAAAATGAAATACAATAAAAAAAAAAGTTACTCTAAAATTGAAAATTATCAAATCTAAATAAACAAAATTTGGAAATTCGATTGCAAATTTACAGATTCCCAATTTCCCACAAGGTTAAAGAATAGAAAAGCCAAAATAGGGGTCTAGCGAGCTGAGCTCGCCTGTTTTGAAGAGCTCGAGCTCAAATCATTCTGACGAGCTCGAACTCTCCGACTATTGTTTATTTGGACTTGAGCTACCTAATGTTGTCGAGCTGGAGTTGGAGCTCGAATCTGAGCCAATTTTGTATTTTTTGTTACAATAGTTTAATTAGAATTTTATTATTGTAAATTACAAAAAAAAAAATGACTTGTAATTTTTTTTAAATTATTTATATGAATTTTTATTACTTAATTATATATTAATTATATTTGAATAAAATAATAAAATAAATTGAAAAAAAATATTCGCAAGCTCACGGTCAACTAAAAATGAAGTCGGACTTGACTCAAGCCAGTAAAGGGCTCACCGAACTCACGAGCCGACTCTGCTCAATTACACACTCGGGCCATAGGCCAAAGGCCGAGCGCGTGAAACACACATCCACAAAAACCCTTGAAAATTGAAACCCCCATTCGAAATCCTGAATCTCAATAGAAACGCAAAAATCCCTACAGAGAAATGATTCAAGCGGCGGCGAAGAGAGGCGCCTCCCTCTTAGGGTTAGGCTCACTGAGTTGTCAGCTGCAACAATGGCGCGGCATCCGGGTCAAAGTTCGGAACAACAATTTGGATCACGCGCTGCTTATTATGCAGAGGAAGATGCAGTCGAGCGGGATCGAGCGGATGATTAAGATCGAGCAAACCACCCACATTAAGAAGTCCGAGAAGCGCGTTTTGGCTAAGAAGACTCTTCAGTGCAAGCTCCGCTCTCAAGACCTCGCTCGCAAGCTCAAAGCCATTCTCGTTCAGAAAGTCAGGTAAATTGAATTACCCAAAAACAATTATATATTTTTCAGTTATTGTTTGAAAAATGTTGTTATGGTGGATTGAAATAAGCTTGATTTGGGGTAAATTCATGTGATAAAGATGATTTTTTTATGGCGGAATCGGAAGTCGGAACTGTGGGCTTTTCGTAAACAAAGAAATAATACTAGGAATGGGGCCATTGTGTATTTGTGTTACAGATATTGAGTTCATCCTTTTGCTAATTTGAATAGAAATGGAGGATGTAACCGGTGGCGAGTCGAGAAATTTGGTACGGGGGCTTAAATTTTTGTGACAAAATCAGAAAATAGGAACAGTAAAGGAAGAAAAAGAAGAAAAAATTAGAGTTCTTTTTTTGCATTAATTTGAATTTTTGGGTGGGCTAATTAACAATAATTGGGGCTTCTTTTGTATTAATTTGGATTTTGGGTGGGCTAATTAATAAATATTGGATTGAATTAATTGATATATATATATATATATGTATAATATAGGGAAAATTTAGAAATTGAGGGTGGGCTTGAGTCCACCCTGCCAAAGGGGTGGACTCGCCCCTGGATGTAACTAGGTGAGGTGAGCTGTGATTGAAAGAGTCGAACACGGGTTTGATATGATTGAGAAAATGTGTCTTTTTTTTTTTGACGTTGTGGAAAATTGGCGACGTTGTTACATCGTATGAATGGTGAATTAGATTGCGTGTGAGTGTTTCCGAGGGGAGGAAGTTAGATTGTTGTCTGGATTTAGTGGAAACTAATTAAAGAGTCTGGGTTGCAATTAAACGTGATGATATTCAAACTATAATCGATCGTTGTAGCTTCGAGTTTGAGTTCTCAATATATGATTTTGAAAGTGTTGGTGTCTATAAACAGAAAAAGAGAATGAAAGAACCCCTGGATTTGTTGATCGACCCCTTTCATTTTCGTTTGTTTTTGGGTATATGCTATTTGGTTTGGGGAGCTTGTACTATTTGTGGAAAATTTAAGGAAGTTTGACTGAGATTCTTTTATATGTACGCATTGTCTACTTATTTGACATTTAATTTCGTATTTTTTTCTATTTGATTGTTGAATCTGTCTCTCCTGCTGAGTGACGAAAGGAGTCGATTGTTGTATCCTGTTGTTGATCGTTGGTTTATTGTAGTTGATTTGGATTTTGGAACTGTGCTATAAGCCCTGCTCGTAAAATCGGGAAGTAGACACAAACAATATTTTTTTTTTTTTTTTCAAATGAAGAAATAAGGACGCGAAGAATGAACACAAATACCAAGAAAATTATTTGTGAATATCAAGTGTCCTACAGATAATGGATGGCGAACAATCTCCTCTGTCGAGCAACTAGAGGGGGCTACAGTCATCCATATATTTATTTTTATTTTCTTCATTATTTTGTCACGGATACATACTGTTACTTAACTTCGATGAAGGGGAAGATGCAATAAAGTAGCCATTCTTGATTAGGTCTCATCTTTCGTCTTCTTATTTTATTTTCTGTTTGACGAGCCTGTGTGATGTGCTGCGATTTGCTTATATTCTCTCATGAGATGGATTAGAGGAGGCCATTTCCTTCGGAATTCGCAAAATAAGCACATCTTATAGCAAACGATTTATCGTTCTTAAGATTATTTTGATCTTCAGTAAAAAAAAATTCTCTTTCTTTTACTAAAGCAAACCAAGTAAGGAATCGTGGCCGTCTCCATCTTGATAGTCGTTGCAGAATCTTCTTTAAGATTGTCTATCTGTAAAGACACTGTCTGCGAAATCTTTCTTTGTTGATTGGCTTGCATATACCTATATTCTCTTTAGCTTCGTTTTTTGTCGTGTTTTATTTCCACTCTGTCGTTAGTTTCGACCAAAAAAAAAATGGTTTCTTCATAAACTGACATATTCATCATTGCATTTCTTGCAGGGGTCTATGAGATTCTATTTTGAAAGACGGTGCGCCCTGTTGGTTAAAGTTTCGCTCTACGTCGAAACAAACCTCGTGCAAATAGACAATGGATCATTTCTAAAGGTTTGTAACCGTATAATAATATCGTACTCTTTGTTTGTTTTTCAAGCTAGCAGAAGGCAATCTATCAGACGATTGTAGTTCTTCTTCGACATCGATTTTTCTGCTCCCATTGTGAAGGATTTTTTTATTTTCTTTTCTTCCCAGAGTTTCACTCTCTATTATCATGTACAGAGTTTTTGGGAAATTTAATTTTGTTCTCAGTTATTGAAGATTGCAAGAGAGCATCTGATAGTACAATATGAAATCAAACAAGTACAAATTGTAAAAAAGAAAAGAAAAACTTAGCCTAATTCATTTAGGCTATCTTTAGTGCATTCATCATCGAATGGTTCATATAAATCATAAATAAACAAATTAATATATAAAATAAATAAAATGAAATTCTCGTGCCTTTAAAATCCGATATTCTGGAATATATTATTTCTCATATTAAATATTTTACGACATTTTATTTTCGGTATTCGTTCGCATATTTAATGTTAAAAAAAAATCAAATCAGATCAAACATTTTCTTATATAATTTTCGTCAAATCAAATTCGAGTAACTCTAATTGCATTACTTCATTTTGGTCATTGTCTCATTGATACAATAATTATATTTTTTTGGGTAAATTACAAACACCCCCTGAGGTATGATCAAATTACAAAACCCCCCCTCTTGTTTGGATAATTATATCTACCTCCCTCAACTATGATTTTTTCTTAGACCTCCACCTTTATGGTGCCAAATTCAACATAGTCATCTAGATTCCGTGAAATGTGCTCTAGTTTGTACTCTTTTTGTGTAAAAAATACAGTTTCCGATGCACCACAAACTGATATATACAAGCTAAAAATCACATATTATGGTCATCTTGCTTCATAATGTAGAGTTTGAATGGGATAAAACGGGTACAAAAGTGATAATATTCCATATAATCTCGAAGATTCCACTAAATTTGATGAGTTGAGGGGGTGGTTGTAATTATCCAAACAAGAGGAGTGTTTTTGTAATTTGTCCATACCTCAGGGGGGTGTTTGTAATTTACCTTATGTTTTTTAATAACATGTTATTACGTTGTAAAGTCTACAAAAAATATAGTATAAAATACCCTTCACTTTCTCCAATTCCATAGCATTCTTACTCAACACATTTTTTTTTACTTTCACAAGAAAGTTCTTGTTGCACATTGTCATGTTTTTTTTTTTTAATGTAATAATTGTGTGATATTGTTTGTAAAAAAAATCATTTAATTTTTTCTATGGATGTTGTTTGTTTTATAGTTTTGGCTTATGTTTTATTGGCATATTTGATTATATAACTTGAATCTAATGTTACTTACTCTTTTTTTTTTTTTTTTTTTTTTTTTAAGATTCATGGATAACATCGTAAGTGTGTTATGTGCCGACATATCGGCAACATAAAAAACCCTGCAACATTGGGTATCATGCAACCAGCAACCATATGATACACGATAGATTTTTACAAAATTTCACTTCTGCTTAGACTCGACATGCAATTAAGGCAGTTGTTATTAAACACATTTTCAATAATTGATTTTTGTCGTATGAAGAATTTGAATTAACTGAGTATGATGTTTGTACACATTAGGACCAAAGATGTACTCGTTTTTTGTATATGAATTTTTATTTTTCGATATTCATCCTTTCTCACCTATTTTCGCTTAATTAATTACTTCCCCCAAATATAATCCTTTAAAAAAAAAACACTTTTCTACTACTTTGTATTGCGGATCAACTTTTTAATTTTTTCAATAAATTTCAATTTTTATGACCAGTATCCATTAAATTTTAGTTTTCCCTCTAATCTGAATACCAAACACGCCCTAAGCGGACAGTAAAGAGGTTTTGGAGTCCACCTGTCCGTCTCTCTTTCCCGGAGGGTTTAAGAATCCCACCTTCACACACACACACACACACACACACACACACTCTCTCTCTCTCTCTCTAAAACCACACCTAGCTAGAGAGAGAATTGGGAAAATAATTGCATGCGCGATGGAAGAGAAGAGCAGCAAGAGGATCCGGCTGGTATTCAGAGATGACGACATTTTGACCGAAACCCAGAAATCGGATGGCCTGAATCGGAGCTGGGTTCTGCTGAAACCCTACCAAAACGACACCGTTTCCGACGTAGCCTCTCATCTGCTTCACGCTTTCCAACTCCACCAATCCTGCCCTCACGGCCTTCTCCTCTCTGTACGTCAAAACAAAAAAAAAAAGAAACCCACTTTCTTTTTTGTTTCGTTTTTATGTTAATGGGTTTATTTATAGCCACATTTTATCTCCTTTTGATGGTCTTCTGTTTGGGTTTCTGCTCTTTTTTTTTTTAAAATATATTGATTTTGTAGTTTATTTACGACAGGTATCGGGCTTTGTGTTGCCGCCATTTGAATCCACTGGCATTTTAAAGGATGATGAAGTTATAAGGTTAGTTTTTAGATTGTTGATATTGTTGTGAGCATAATGTGTGGGGAAGGGTATGATTGACATTTTAAATTTTGTTGTGCAATCAGAGTACGGAAGAGAAGAGAAGTTCTATCTATAACAGGAAACAATGCCGTTGCTGACGAAGTCGAGAAATTGAGAGCTGCAGAGAAGCAGCCTGTAAATAACGGTGTGTTGCTTTTAGCCAACGACGAGTTTGAGAAAGAAAAAGGTGGTTACGAGAGTGATGAACCCGAAGAGGAGCTTGAAGAGGATGTTGAAGCTCCGAAGAAACGAAAACGAAAAGCAGAAGAGAAAATTGAAGGCTCTAAGTATGGGCTTTTTCTGCCTTTATTTTACGCGGTTTTTATTCGAGTATGTGTGATGTAGTTGTGCTGACTTCTTTAATGCGTTTTGGATTTCAAATGTTGTTTCTTTTAGGAAGAAGAAGCGACGTTCTGAGGCTACTCGAACCGTTGAGGACAATGCTCCTACAGAAGAAAAGATTGAGAACTCTCATCATGCGGGAGAGCATTCAAAGAAGAAGAATAAACGTTTTCGTAAGGAGATAAAAGATGGTTCTGATGCAGAAGATAGAGTGGAGGAAAACGAGAAAACGGATAAATTAAGTGACGAGAATGACATGTATGTTTTCTTTCTGGAAACTTTGTTTTGCCCAATGGTTAGAATACTAGGTTTACGAGAAGTCTAGAACTAGAAAACCTAGTATGGATTTTAGCATGTCAAGGACAGAAATTATTTCCAAACGAAGAAGCCCGCTTAGGGTTGTGCCCTTAGGTTGAGGAATAAGGAACATTCTTTAGAAAAAAATATACGAATTGTTTTTATTTTGTAATTGCTGCCTGAAATGCTGGCATTTCTAACCAGTCAGTACGAATCTCAGGCTGTTTGTTTAGTATTCGGTTTGCCATTTAATTGTGCTGACTGCTAATCAATGCCTGTATCGGTTCCTTCTTGTTCTTGTTCTTATTTTCCTCTATTCAGACAACATGCTTTCTGTATTTCAGCGTTTCTTTCTATGGGTATATTATATATTTCACGACCATTCTTTTTTACAAATATTTGTCGTGCACGCATATCTGTAGAAATGTCGAAGTTCAAGAGAATGGGAAAGCGACTGAGAATGGCGACGTTGCTCCTAAAGAAACAAAAAAGGTATATCCATGACACCGTCGATGGAAAACATAGTGGTTGTTGTTTCTTGATCTCTTCTCGATAAGTAATCCCGAAAAACTTTATGGATTTACCTCGAACTTCTTCAGGGTCCAAGTAGAAGCGCAAGGCGAAAGTACGCCAAGAGGAAGTGGTTGCGGGAAATGGCGAAGATTCAGAAGCAAAATGAAACCTGCGAATCGGAGGGTCTTGTAAGCTATCAAATACTTATATCAATGTGAACAATGAACTAAATCTAATCTTACATCGAATTTTGCAGCGGAACTGGAAAGAGGATCAAGCTAAGAAGGCTGGAAGAAAAAACGTGGATGGCCAATTGAAAGTACAGGTTAGTTATCGTACTTTCCTTAATCCCTACAACTTGTGAAATAATAAAACTGAATAACAGATTCTTACAGCAGAAGTGGAAGAAACAACAAGTTGACGCTGAAATAAACGAGGTGGATGACCAACCAAAAGGACTGGTGAGTTATCTTGTTTGTCCGTAGAAAGTCTTTCTTCGTTCTTGATTTTTCTAGTCTGCTATGATTTTGAGGTTCAAAATTTCTCTTATTTCCAGCTGCACGTCAAAATATCTCCTCAAAACAATCGGTTTGTTAAGGGAAAAAGGCATCAAGAACGAAATAAACGTGACCACTTTCTTACACGCCCAACTTATGTGCATGAATTGAGAAAGCGAAATGGCAATGAACACGAGCATCCAACTCAAAACGTTGATGGAGTTGAGCAGCCAAATGAAAAACAGGGTGATGTACAAGAACAACCAGGTCAAAAAAGTGATGTCGTAAAAGAACTTCCGAAGCAAAATTTTGATGCACCGAAACAGTTAAATGAAGAAAGTGACGAGGAGGGTGAAATTGTTCCCGTTGTAATCAGGCCTGGACACATCCGCTTTGAGCCTATGGGGAAAGGTCCTGCTTTTTTCTCTGTATGCATATCTATGTTTGCTGATCTACGTGAATCTGATATTACGACGCTTTTAGTTAAATTGAATCTTTATTTATCCAGTTTGGTGAATGACAGATATACGATTCGCAAAAATCAATTCTTTAGATTTAAAATTTAGAAAAAAGTTTTGCTGTCCTTCTGATTTATTCCTAGGAGGACTGGCATTCTTTCGAATTTTTTTCTTCACCCTTTGTTCCTAAAGTTCATATTGTAGAACACATAGTGAATTATATTTTCATATTTCTTTACTTCGGGAAGCCCAAATTTGCCTGCGGACAGGAGTTAATCGACATTTTATTTGTGCATCAACTTCAGCCATCTGAGCAATTTGTGAGTAAAAACAACCACGAATAAACCGCTACTACTTTTAAGATGATTTTCCATATTTTTTTTAACATCGTGTCGTTTCTCTTTCTAAATTTGGGAGTAAAGTTGCCCTTTCAGTCTTGGATTTGCGTTATTGCACTGTGTGATATTGCAGATTTCTCACCTATGAAATCTTTTTTATTTGATGCAGAACAAGCAGCCGTCCAGCAAAATGACGTACCTTCAGTAAGTTTTATTGGTTTTATTGCATATTTGGATGTTGGTTACGACAATATATTTACACTGTTTTGTCTCTTTCTCGAGTTAGGATCATATTATGAAGTTTTTTGTTTGTTTGAGTACATTAGTTTGTATTTTGCCTTAAAAGTCGACCCTTCGTAAAAGTGTGCATAGTTGGTCAAACTTTTTGTCATCTCACAAGGTTAAGAATTTTTTTTTTTATAATTTAATCTGACATCGTTTATCCACCTCTTGTATCATTCTTTTGTAATTACGGCTTGGGGGTTTGAACGAGTAAGAAAACGATTATTGAAAGACTTGTATAATTTAAAAGTCCCCTCGTTTCCTTTTTGCCTTAGTGATGTTTCTCAATTAAGTTGGGGTCACGTTTGCTCTCTGATGACACTGTGTTTCTCCATCAGGAAAACTTCCAGTGGAACGGAATAACCAGCAAGAAAAAAGGCCAACAATGGGGGAAGGAAAATCGTTCATTCACTCCTGGGAACGAGTACAAACTTCCAACCAAAGAGTACTCTCAAATATCAAGCCTCGAAAAACCGAAACAAACCGATGAAGTAACCGACTTTGATAAGCTCCCACCTCTTCCAAGCATACCTAAGGTAGTTCCTCGTTTTCTTTCTCAAACTGGCATTTATGAAGTTATTCGATGATTTTTTTTCGTATTACGAATGTTAAATGTCAAATTTTTGTCGTTATTTTGCAGGAAGGAGATGTCATTGCTTATCGTCTTCTTGAATTATCATCATCCTGGACCCCGGAGCTTTCTGCCCATCGAGTATTAAATCAATTATATTCGTCTATAAATTAAATCTTATTTTTTCGGTGCAATATAAGTTATGCCTTTGATATATCTTCTTTTGACTCAGGTTGGAAAAGTATTCTCTTTCAACCCTGAATCGAATCAAACGATGTTGGTGCCTGTACCAGAATACCCCATTGTTGCCAAGATTTCTGACGAGGATGAAGACGTACAACCAGATAACTCCCTTTATAAAGAAGATGGTTCATTGGAGGTATAAAGCACTGTTCTGTTGAAATCATGAAATTAATGATTTACATCTGTGTTAGAAAAGGCTTGATTATAATAATTATCTGCTGCTTAATCGTATTTGCAGATTGATTTTTCGTTGCTTATTGATGTTCGTATACTCAACAATGAGGATTCGGAACAAGGAAACAAATCCGTTAGTTTGGTGAGTGAAGGTTCTGTACCCAATGAAATCGTTCCAGAAACATTCTTGCCTAGCGGCAGTGACAAACAGGCAGTTGTACCCAGCCCAGGTACTATCGATTTCCCGGGATTTACTTTTAAATTTATTTCGGTTAATTTTACTTCTAGTCCTGTAAGTTGGTCTAGTTAGGGATTTTTAGTCCTAAAAAATGCTCCCGAAATTTTGAATTTTCTTCGTTGATCACCGACACGCCAAACAAACTCCTCCGATTTAGTTTACGTAGATACTTGCAAAATCGTGGCATTTTGAGGTACCAAACTAACTTTGCAAGATTGAACTAAACGTACAATCTTAGAGAGAATAAATAATTTTTTAAGTTTTTATACAATTAAAAATCTGCGATTTTGACAAAAGAGGACTAAAAACGCTAAATTTGCAAAGTTACTGCATGTAAAATTAATACGATACAATCTAAAGGATTAAACTCCTAAATACAACCCCCACTTCTGCAGGTAGTTAAAATGTTTCTTCACATAATATAGTTCATTATTTTCATTTGTTTGGATTACGTTTGACACTATTTATTGTTGTTGTTGTAGAAACCGGTGGCGCGAGCATCTGGGACGAATTCAGCGAGGCTCTAAATGCAAAGAAGGAACAGCTATCGAAGGAGAATGGTTGGGGCATAACTCCAAAGAAGGTACAACCATCTCAGGATAATGGTTGGGGTAGTAACGCCAAAAAGGTACAACCACCATCACCGGAAAATAATAGCTGGGGCAAGAATGTACGAAAGGTACAACCACCATCACAGGGCAATAATAATAATAATCGGGATAAGCAGAGTTCAGGTGGTGGTAGATCATGGTCGTATAAAGGTCTTAGAGGCGGTGGTCTTGCCTCAACAATGGCTATGATAAGATCGAAAAAGGATGTGTGGGGTTAGAAATTAGTTTTTACTCGACCGTGTATTCGTTCGTGTTAAGCTTTTTATGTTTCTAAGTCGAAACTTCTTTGTTTGGTTGTCTTTCTTTTTGTAGTCAAGCCTTTTGAAGTATGTAAAATGGTGAATCTTTAGGTTTCTTGTAAATTGCAGAACTGGAAGCTGACGAAAATTTGTAATCTTATGCTTCGTTTGGTTGGTAAGACGAGTCACGGATAACTACAAATGAGGTCTTGTTTGGTGAATAACTTATTATGAAATTTTATCTTGACTAATTTTATTTAGGGAATCAAACGAGCCATAAGGATTTTAATTGTATAGTTGGATTATTAGGAGTTTTTTTGGTTATCCATATTTGATTAGATTGAATTAGATTAGTAAGAAGTTCGGTTTCTTAGATTATATCTTCTATTAAATTTGTTAAATTCAGTTATTTTATATGAACTGTCTATAGAGTCACTTTGTTAACAATAATAATATATAAAATTTAAGGATGAAATTGTTGTTTTCTTGTTTAGTCACCCACTAATCACAAGCGGAGGGGTGCTACTAAATTAATAAAATAGTAACATATAGTAGCGTACTTTAGTTTTTATAGTGGTTTTGAATAAGTACAAATCTTATCAATCGAACATGTTATCAACCCTTGCTATTTAGTCAATATAACCTAATTGTGGTAACCGAACGACCCCTTAATCAATTTTCTCGTTCTTTGTTACTGATTAAACCCTTTTATGTTTTCTCATTTATTCGTGTGTTGGTTCGGAAAAAAAAAACTCCCAAGGATACGTATATAAGTCAAATTCATCCTTAGTTCCGAAGATACGTGAAACAGCTGCCAATCGGGATCTCCAGTATTCGTCCATGGTCAACCAACCGGTCAACCGGTCTAGTTCAGGACTAGTGACTTTACTACATATATCAACACAAGCTAAACTACTCAAGAATCAGAAACTAGTAGTAGCAGCCAGCATTTTATTTATCAAATCACATCCTATTTTCATCACAATTTCTGTGTTCAACAGGAAATTAAAGCTGGATTATAGGTGATCTTAATCTCTTCAATTCAAGAATATTACACGTATACGGGAAAAAAAGAGTTTAGAAACTGCGAAGTAACAAAACGGCAGTTAATATTCCTTTGCAGAAAGGCGCTGAGTCCCGATCCACTCTTCGTTCGGATACAAAGTGATTTCAGTCTCCACAGCAGCTGCCTCAACACAAACCATCTGCTTATACTCTTGATCTCCTAAATCAGCTATTGAACTTGCATCAACTTCCCATGGATTCCACACAACTACAAAACAAAAAAATATATATATAATGCACGTTTTATTAAATAATTCGTTGCATATAAATACGACACACTATCAAGTATACATATAAAAAAAAACCTTACCAATTTCAGGAAGACTGGCATCTTTGTGAATGGTAATAGTTCTTCTGAGCTCAATGTCCCTAATACAGATCTCATCAGGAGTGTTCAGATATACCCTGTCCAACTAAAACCGATATTAAAGTCAGGTTCATCAAAAGATTATAGCTAATTAATTACACAAACATAATAATTTATTAAACTTAGGTAATTAAAATACATCTTTATATTTATATATATACTTCGTCTCCAAAAGTGATTGCATCAGCCTCGTCAGTGAATTGATTGTGATCATCCAGGTAGTCCCGATAATCCAACCCTTGCAATCCTTCAATCTGAGTTGCACTGGAAAATGGAGTATTAATTTAGTTAATTCACTGTTGCTATTATATATTTAAAAAACACATTTATAGAATAATGTCATTAGTATATATTAATTTACCGGATATTTGAGACGGAGAAGTAGGAGTGATAGGCAAATTTGAACGTGAAAGGCTCCCCATTAGTGTTGACATTTTTTACACGAGTTGTCATAGTCAGATCTCCAGTGGGTCCCAGGATAACACGTAAACGGAGCTCAAATCTACAACATTAATTAAAACAGAGGAAATACATATAATTTCGATTATGATATAGTTGTATATATACCAAAATTATTAATTAAAGATTAATTGTAAAGTACTTATGATTAGGCCAGTCTTGGAAGTCGTCGGGTTTATGATCGAGAAGAAAATCAACGTATGCATTATCGGGTGTTGGAGGGGGAAAGGCTGTATCACGTGCCAAATTCTCGACTCTCCATGATCCGATTCTAGCAAATCCATGTCCCTCCATGTGTTCTTTGTCGAAAAACTGATCATGCATGATTAATTATACAACATTTTTTATATGAAACCGAATAAACGCAATTTGGCAAATGGATTCACAACGAATAAAAAGAAGCAAATTAACCTTTGGGAAGCAAATTGGGATGCCTCCACGAATCGGCTTTGGAGGTCTGTAAACGGCCTGGCAAATTAAAAAAAAATATGTTATTCGTTATCATTTACGAGAGTACTAAATAAGAAAACATCCATCATTTTCGACAGTTGAAGAAATAATCTTTTAACTAATGGAAGAATGAGACAAGCAAATCAAGAATTAAGTTGATGTACATATCAACCTTTGCAGAATCATAATTAAATTACTCTTTGACATCAATTAATTAATTCCCTTACTTAAATATATATATATATATATATATATATATATATATATATATATATATATATTCATGCATGATTATATATATACAGTTAAGAATAGTAAAACAGAACCCGAATTTAATTAGGCCGGTGATTAATTACGGAATATATAACAAGTTCGATCATCTCACACTAATTAATAACATAATTAAAATTAAATCAGAGGAATTAAAAAGTACCTGTTCACTGAGAAAAAGTAACTCTTGTTTATGTTCAGTCTTCCACGATACTACTTGAGCTCCATAAAACAGAATCTACAAATGGATCAAAACACAATCAATACAGTGAAACCCTAAGCCCGCACCATTTCCGTAATTACTAAAAAAAATCAAATTAAAATAAACTGCGTTAATCAATTAATTACGTCGGAGCAAATCGGAGAAATCTGAAAATATATATACCTCGGCGGAGTAGCCATCAGGTTGATGGAGAATGACGGAAAGGCCGCCGCGGTTGGCTCGGTTTGCCATTTTACACGTAGGTCCCCGCACCGGCGGCGGCGGAGGAGCCCTGGACGAAGATACCGTTTCCGCTGACATGTTCACCACTGCCAATTGCGCAATCACACAGCAGAATGTGTGTGTGTGTGTGTGTGTGTGTGATGGATGGAAGAAGAAGCAGTATGATGATTTATGTAACCGCTACAGATCAGAAAATTGAAAATGGTGTTTTTCCGCCTTCTTCACACCTTTTATACTAAAATAATAACAGAATCTAGTTTTGGCTCCAACTGAAATCGATAGACAGAGCTTTCCGGCGTGAAATTACCTCAATACCCCCGTATTCTCTATTCGTGTTCTTATTTTTTTTAGTTAATTGTAAATTTATTTCTTTTTCTAAAATTTTCAGGACCTCAATTTTGGTAAAATTGACATAATTTGATTAAATCTTGATATATTGTTTTGTATTTATTTTATTTAGATAGAAAAATGAGACCATTTTTATATACCAAAAGAGATATATATACACACACACACACATATACACACACATATACACATACAGAATATATTTATTTATAAGTAATCAAATACATAGTTCATCTAAAATGTGTTTCACTATTCTTTAATGGCTAAACAAAATCATAAAAAAAGTATGTTATAGCACATTTTTTTTAAATAGCTGATATAGTCTAATATTTTATTGATACTTTTTCACAAATAAACTATATAGTATAAATAAACATTTGTCAAAAAATACTTTATCTAAATTATTTTACTATTTTTTTTAATAGTCAATCAAACTTAGAAAAAAAAACCATCATATAATATAGGATATGATACGAGTTCAATTGTCCTGAAGCCAAATACTGTTAAAACTCTATAAAATAATACAATCGGGTCGAAATTTAGTACATTTTTATTGAGTTATGGTCGAATTAAATTATTATTAAAGCGAAGTTATTAATTTATTCAGGTTCTACTGTAGTAAGAATCTTACACAAAACCCAAAAGACAACCCATGCTCAATCTCAACTTGCCCACTAATACATATTCATAGAGCGAGTATACGACGTATTCACCATTCTCTTTCCGAACTCTGAATCAGTAAAAAAACATTGTTTTCATAATTTGTTTGATGTTTATCTATAGTCAATGTGATTATTATACTCGTCTCTGGTAAGAAGCTATAGTAACCGAAATACGAAGCCTCGTTGTTTCATCTTAATTGAAAGCATAAGCTATAGTACTCAATAATCAGAAACTGCAGTTAATCTTCAGTTCAAGAATATTACATGTAGGTGGGGGGGGGGGGGGGGGGGGGGGGGAAAAAATTTTAAAAACCCCTTTTAAATTTCCCCGGGAAAAAGGGGCGGGGCCCCCACCCCCCCTCTTTCGGGATCCAAAGGGTTTTCCCTTCCCCAGGAAGGGCCCCCAAAAAAAAATTTCCCTTTTAACCCTTCCCCCCCAAAAAAGGTTTAAAACTTGGTCTTCTTTCCCGGGGGTTCCCACACCCCCCAAAAAAATCCTCCTTTAAACACCCTTATTTTAATAAAACCGGGCCCTTTTAGTTAAAAAAGAGCCTTTTGAGGC